TGTCTATGTATCCTTCTGCAATTCCTTCTCTTTGACAACAGTAATTACTCGGTGCCTTTTCGTTGATTGCAGTTCCTTTGCCTCTTAGATTGCCTTTTTTCACTTTTTGTTCAGATGCCAACTGCAAAGATGCAAATTTTTGCACTTGCGCGAAGAATTTCGTGACAAAGTTAATTAGAGGAGCCAGAAAGTAGAAGAAGGTGAAGTGGGTGCTTCGAGAAGGTGGCAAAGAGGGCCAATCAGCGTCAAATAAAATTACGCAAAACTCACTTTCCGTTCAGGTTTCTTTTTGAAGAAGTTTAAATGCAACAAAAAGTTTATACGTCATTAAATTTTGAACCTCGGTGATAAGTCTTTATTTATTCATACCATTTATAACTTTCATAAAAAACTATTTGAGCCACGTTAAAATTAAAGCAAACAAAAAGGAGAAACCAGATTGCACAATTAATGATTTTAAACATCTGAACGAATACGTAACCAAGTTCTAGAAGTTTATTTAATTAAAGGTAAAGCCGTTCGACGTAACCATTAATATTTATGGTCTCAACCTTTTCACTCTTTCTTTTTAACTCACGCTTGGTTAACTGGCATTTCTTCGTCTTTGTGAGCCAACTTAAAAAAGGAAATTGGAGATGAAACGAAGCGCATGGAATTTAAATGTGAGAATTTCAGTTTTCTTTTTATTTTTTTTCGCATTTTTCTGTCGAAGGAAAAACAACAAAGGGGGGAAATATGAAAATTTGCCAGAAGCCGGGCTCAGCCTTGGAAAAGGGAATAAGTTTCAACCCTTTCGGTGGTTAAGGAAACAACAGACCCCCAAACAAACCACCCACATCGTATTACTGGGTCAGGTTTTCTTCGGGCTGCCCTTTTTTTATTTTTTCCTACCGCTCGTTAACTGCCCAGCAGAACTCATTTTGTGTTGTTGTTTTTCGTGCCAGTGCAGCAGCATTAAATACACATATAATTTGGACAAAAAAAAAAGGGGGCAGGTGGGTGTGGTCATGAGCCGGGCGTATCTGATGTTGCTTTGGGAGTACATAAAAGTAGGCGAATGAACTCTTTCCGCAAAGCGAAGAAGACCCCACAAAAAAAAAGGGTAAAGCCTCATGTATTAAAGGTCTTTATGACTGAATACCCTTCAGGCTAAAACCAAAGCATAGTAAAGTTGATCCAAATAAATTTGGATTTCAACTTAATTCTATAACAAGTTCTAACAACAAATTTTATATAAATATAAGGTTTATATCTTTATTTTAATCTATTAATATTCCACGGAATCATTTTAACACCACTAAACATTTCCCAGGTTTTTTAAGCATATTTAAAACTTTTGTTTCAATTTAATTATGTTTTGAGGACTACACATACTTTTTATAGCCCATGAAAATTTGTTGTACGACAAAACTCTAAATTAATTTTGCAGGCTTAACAAAATCTACGCCCACATTCGTGTATGTGTGCTTTTTGTCCAGTTGGATGGCCCCCATGGGTCATATTGAAATCCACCCTGAACCCGCCCCCACTTTTCAGCACACCTCTGAGCTAGAACTCATCTGACGTGCCATGAAATTTGTTTTCAATTAACAAATTGTTTCGGAGCGAAGGCTAAAATCGATATCTAAGCCTTTTTTCCTGCTCCTCCCCTTTTATTTTCTTCCGATTTTGGCTTGCCCATAAAAATCTATGGTTTTTGGGAAAATGTATTCTTTGCCAAAATTATTTCGTTTTTACACAAAGAGAAACAAATACATTTAAGAAAGATTTGCTTTAATCTTGCCCTTTGAATATAGCAATTTAAGTTGCATTAAAATGTTCCACAGCAGCTTTACTTAAAGTTTTTTTTTCGAAAAAGAATTTCAAGCATTTTGTTTGCTTCGGATGTGGAAAATGCAGGAAAAGAGCTGCAGGATGCAGGCTTCCTTTTCCTTTGTGCATAGCAAATTCTTACATGGTCAGAGCATCAAGAAAAGCGAAACTTTAGCCCTGCAAATCAAAAAGTTTTCAAGTTGTCGAGAGCATCTTGGCAGACAAGTTTCAACAGATAACATGACAATGACGATTCTAAAAAAGTTCTCACATCCGAGATGAGATAAAGTGCCCCAACTCACTCAAGTTCACATAGATATTACACGTACTGGATATTCATTAGCTTCGTAAAAATGACTTCTCCTTGTGAATCAATAAATCAAAGCGTAGGCTGACAGCTAACAACAACAAAAAATGTAGTCATAAGCCAGTAAGATTTGTGACTCACCAGACAAAGTTAAGATACAAAAAAGAAAAGAAGAGGCCAGCAAAAAAAAATTACAAAAACTCCCACATCGCAATCGAGGAAAAAGTCTGTATGGATTTGGCAAGCCATCAAAATAATAGATAGACAGACAAATAAATAAATATAAATAAATGTAGAGAACAAGTAAAAAATATATAAATGTATAAATTGAATTCATGACTTGCTTATATATGTAAACGACAAAGGGGCGTGGCACTGCAGTGGTGTCATCAAACTCTGGTGGTAGAAAAGAACAGAAGGCCGACAAAGGTCCAAAACAAATGGGAAAAAACTTGGAGTCGCACCAAGAACACTGTGTACTGTTTTTACCCTTTTTTCTGTTAGGAAAGTTTATTGAATGTAACTGCTTTTCCTTATATTTAGTTACGATATTTTAAAATCAGCTACTCCCAAATTAGAAACAAAGGATTTTCCTATTTAAAAGTGTAAATTATTCAACAGATGTCCAAATGTAATCCACAACCCAATATACTTCTTGCAGAAGGGTACACAATGCTGCGGGCATTTTTACCACATGGGGGTTTAAGAAAAAAAGGCAAACAAAAGCCATGTGACGAAGCACAAGGTAAAAAGGCAAAGACATTGAAAAAATTGTTACATGAGAATGCGGCGATGGGGGGACGTCACTCAAGGGCTAAACTTTTAATTGCATTCGTTAGAGTGCATGTGGTATCGGTCGAATTCTCTCTATTTATAGGGGTATAAAGAGAGCCACGAATAAAGGCACGCACTGCCCACACCTTTGTTATCTATGCCAACTGATAGACCACTATCAAATGATAACACTGATGATTCATTAGTTTGTTCGAACACCTCATCGTCTACGTCTAGTATATTTGTACAACTCAAATAAACCTTTTAATTACTAATTGGGGTAGAATGTAAATAAATTTTATCGGCCTAGCGTCATTGTTCGCATAGTTAGAGTGGGTGGAATGCGGATATGTTAGTAATTTTGTAATATATATTTTTCAAGATAATGTATCTTTTAAATACATAAATCGCCATTCATTTTTTTAAAAATATATCATAGCGATATAATAATAGTTTTATACGAAGATGATAAACGAATCAGTAAATCTAATAATGAAACCTATATATCAACTTGAAGTCAATATACTTGAGTTACTAGTGTTTAAATAAATGAATCCAACTTTTTAACAGTGCATGCGCCTGGGTTTTGATAAATTGGAGAACCATTAGGGAGGTGAAGGGAACAAAAGTATAAGGTCGCTGGGTGACGGCGATGACTCAATTCAGCCTACATTTCGAATCGGGGGAGGCGCGAACTCTCTGCATGTTCGACTCACATTAGAGGGGCGATACTCGTATACTCGTAGACTCGTTCAGCTCATTCAGAATACGCTGACAGGAAGCGATGGGGAAAATGAAATGAAATGATACATGATAAACGGCGTTTAGTATATGAAACTTTCACAGATGGATAATGCTTTCAAATTAAACACGCAACTGGCATCGTATAAAAAAGTTACACAAAAGATTAATAAATAGATGAGTACAGTGCCAGAAAAACTGCGGAAGATCCATTTTTGTTTGGAACATAATAACAAGACACGATAAACACTTAAATTAGCTTTGAAAACGTACTCAAATCTGGGCTTTCAAGTACATCCAAAAACATTTGGTCAACCCACAAAAGTGAGTCGATACGAATTGTGTGAGATCATCAACGGCAAAATTCTCTTTTTATAAGTAACAAATAAAAACACAAAGAGAGAAAATAAGTGCCATAACTTTGTTTGAATTCATTTAGATGACAAAAGCTGCACAAATATAGAAATGAGAAATACAAAATAGGGCTTTCTGCAGCATCCGTAATTGATGACAAATCTAGTTCATTTACTTGAATCCACATACTAAATCAACTAGTTAATTAACGGGCTAATAATGTAATTTAGGAAATATATAACTTTTATTAGAAGCATTAATAATTATTGTACTATAAATATTCTTTATCTCGCCAATTGTCCATATCCCATTTAGTTCAAGAGAGTGTGAATTAATTAAACATTTTTTTAATGGCAGTAAGATGAAAAGAGCCGAACGATAGATAGACAGCAATGAAAGCGACAAGAAAAAACAAATGGAGCACAACATACATATATTATATGGCATATATGACTATCTGATACTTAATAATTTTCATATTTCTTAAAGATGGTATTTATTAATATAAAAGCACTAGCCAAATCCCAATCTTCTTATGAAGTAAGCGTTCAAAGAATCGAGATTTTTGGAGAAAATTCTGAGCCCTATATATTTGGATGATTTCATGAAGTAATGTAATAAGTCTTGTTTGGATTAAACGACCTCTTCAAACACAATATACCCAAGTACCCCTAGGGTATGGGGTATAATTAGCTTTACTTTGTTTTGCTTCATTCATTTGCCAAGATCTGGTTTAGCCGCTTCTTTATCCCTCTGTTTCGCACTCTTGAAACTCGAAATGTCACAACACAAAGGGCACGATTTCATTAATAGAAATGGGTGCAATTTCAAGGGGCTGAGGGTGAGTAAGGGGGGCAAGGGGACTTCGAGGACATGAAACGCGACCTTCGGCGATTTTTCAATGCTGGACGCGACAAGTCACGAGGGAAACCTTGGCGTAGAGAGAGAGTAATTGCGGGAATTGCCGATAAAAATAATGCTAAATGTTGAATAATTATTGCGTATTACTCACCTCAAAGCGGGGGAATGAAGCATTGCAGCTGTTTTTTTTGCTGGAAGCTGGATGACTGGAAATCTGGAGCCCGGACTGGAAATTCCAAAAGACGAGGGCGTGGCAGGGCGGAGTCGCGTTTTTTTATTTTGATTATTTTTCGGGCATTTGATTGCATTTTTGTGGTTTAAATAAAATTGCAGTTTGATTGATTGACATAATACGAAGTTGGCGTCGAAATTCGTTTTGTTTTGTGCAAGTTTTTCTCGCTCTTCTTTTCACTAACCGCGGTGTTTTACTGGGTGTTTTTGCTGTTGTGGTGGAAACGTGCTGATTGTTGCTGTTGTCGTTGCAGTTTTCGGTTTTCTTTTTCTTACGTTCAAAAGATCAAAAGGTGAGTTTAAAATTAAAAAAACGTGCACATATTGCAGGTCTGACATTTGCAAGTGGTGTAATCAACAGAAATTCACCAATTCGCGTAAGTTCATTTGGTGCATTTACAATTTTGCATTTCCTACTTAAAAGCGAAAGCATTTTTCCGAGTTTCTTAATCACAATAATTTTGAAAAAACTCATACACATTACGTTTTTTTTTTTATTAATTTGTGATTTTGCATTGGATTGTACTACAAAATATGTATAGATTATGCAGAATATAGGCCTTGATGAGCATGCTACTTGCTTGCTTGGATTCTATATGGATTTATATTGTGAGTGCAGATAAGTTGATTGGTTTGATTTATTTGTTAAGTTGTTTCAACAGCCGCATGCCATAGAAAATTTGGGTTATGTATTGGAAATATATTTAAATTTGCATTCCGATTGTTAGTTTTTGGGATGAGAGGGCGGTGGAGAAAAGAAAGGAAATATAAATTAGGTTAATCAAGAAAGAAAAAGTATTTAAAAGTGTTTGTAGCGTGTTAGGTGAGTGTGAGAAATGAAATCATAGCTAAAACCAAAATCCATTAACTTTTCTGACGATTACAAAACGGAAAACGACCAAAAACTAGTTTGAAGGGAAGTAAAACAACAAAAAAAAAACTTGTCCAATTGTTTGCGCAACAAAAAAAAACTGAATAATCAACTTGAAATTTAACAGTTTACCGATTAATTTGAAGCTGGGTATATGTGAGTGTGATTGAATTGTTTACCCTTTTAAAGTCAGCATTCCATCAACTTCCTCAACTTTTAGAGCCACGGTTTTCGTGTATTTTGTTTGTTTTTGTTTTCGCTTTATCATCTTCATTGAGAATGTCCGAGTTAGCCTTTTATCTAGTTTTTTATTTGTATATATATGCTGTGTGTTTTGTATAATTTATATATATTATATGCATTCAATAAATATGAACATGTTAAGTAAATAGCATTATAGTAAATAGTCAATATAGTTATTATCTCGCATAATAAACAATCTTTTTATAATAAATATTCAAAAGTTAACTAGAGATTTGTTGCATCATTTTCCTCCTTTTCAGTGTGAGTGTGGTGGTGATGAGGCTACTTTAAGTGTGAGTTTTTAACAGGAGAACTAAACTAGTTAAACAAACAAAAACTAAATGCATTTTCAAAGTTGGAAAAACGAGGAAATCAACAAGATTTTCTTTCTCTTTTTTCCTGCAAAGCATTTGCAGTGAGTGTGAGTTTTGTGTGTGAGTGAAGTGTTCCTTTCTTTTATTATACTTCTCGTTTTTTGCTTCGCATTATAACAATAATCAATAAAATTTCATGTTTTCTTTGTTTGCAATTACTTGTCTTGTAGTTTTGTGTTTTCAATTATTTTTTTTCATTTAGTTCTAGTTTTATAAATTTTCAATTAGCAATTTGTTTACAAGTACTAAATATTCTGGTAGCTATTACTTGAGTTTCATGTGTATATAAGGGGACTTGAGACTCTTTATATTTATATTAGCTATAATTGGTGTAATCGAGCCCTAATTTCATGTGCTTCTTTATCGGGGGTTCACTGGTTGCGATCTCTTACAGTTTAAGTTTCGATTTTGTCTTCTGCAATTTCTCTGGGTGGGTTGCGCAACATACTATGTATATAGATCGGGTCTTGATGAGATTGAGTGTGTGGGGTGTGTTTAGTGTGAGGTGTAAATGTGGCGTGTAAGTAATTGCATTCGAGATTTACATGAAATAACTGCTAACATATGAGGCCGCTAAGATGCCCAGCACAGTGAGGCAGATCAGTATCATGATCTTCTTTCGTCGGGCTTTACTCTGGTACTTGAGCGCCTTCTTGGTGTCCTGAGTTGCCGTCTGCACATAGTCCATAGCGTGCTCCACATGGTACTCAATGCGATCGATCATCTCGCCCTGCGACTCCACCAACATGGCCATGTCCATGAACATGTCGTGCAGCTCCTTGATCGATGTCTCCAGCTTCATGATGTCCTGGTGCCGAGCCTCGATGTCCGCCAACGTCTGTTTGGCCTGCTGTGTCTCCATGATGATGCCCTGCGTAAACACCGACGAGTTGCCCTCCTCCAGCATCTTCTCCAGCTCATCGTCGTTGGTCGGCCGTCCGGTGATCTCCAGCTGACGCTGTATCCTTCCCTTGCAGCGCTCTCGGTAGTCGGTCTGGGTGCGATTGTACTCGGTCATCACTTCGACGAATTTCCGCGACAACGTCGAGTGCTGTGTCTTCCGGATCCTCAGATCCGCCGACGACTTGTTCTGCTGCTCCTCCTGCTCGATATTCTGCTCGATGCCCTTAAGCTTTCCCCGCACTCGATTGGCATTCTTCTTGATGTCGGCCATCAGATCCTCCAGCTCCTGCTTGGTTTTCTCGTCCGTCTGAGGGGCGGACAGAATGGCCGAGTGCTTCTTCTTCACCTCCTCGACGTTGTCCTGCACCTTGTCGATCATCCCACGGATTTCCTCCACCTGGGCGAAGAAATCGTCCATGTAGGAATCATGGCCATCCACATTGACGGCCACCTCCGTCTCCTCCTCATCATCGGATTGGGCGGCATGGAGAGCGGCTAATCTGTCTTTAGTCATCTTTGTGTCGGGGTTTTATCCTTGTTGATTTGGTTAAGGGTTTTATTGGGAAATTATCGTGATTTTTTCGATTCTCTGGCGTTTTTAATTTTGGGGTCTTTTAAAGTTGTACAGCGTTTGATAGTTAGTTTTAGTATCTCTTTTGTTTTTTCAAATATTTATGCTTCGTTGTTATTGGTGTTTTTTCCCAAGCTTTACGTAAGCTTTTGTTACGCGGTTTTTGCAGATTGCGTTTTTGTGATTAGCAGTTAAACGTTAAACACGCACACACATAAACTACACGTGTAAACGCGCGCGGAGTTTTCCTTTTGCTTTTTTGCAGGTTTGCTTTTTAACTTGTTTGCACGTTTTTCCCACTTTTGCGAGAGAGAGACCTTTTATTGATTTTCCGCTTTTGGCTTGGCAGCTCTCTCTTTTCGGTTTACTTTTAGTATATAATTTTATCTTAACTGGCACTTTTGCTGGCGTTTTGGTTAATATTATTATAATATTATATGTTTTTTGTGTGTGGTGTTATTTCGCTTTCAGAGAGAGAGAGTGTGAGAGAGAGGCAAACAGAGCGGCGGCAGCGACGTCGACTGCGGCAGATCGCCTCTTCAATGCCAGCAGCTAAAAAAGCCAAAGCTGCTGCTGAATTAATTTTTCTTTCTTGTTATTTCTGACTCACTCACTACTTTTTATTTAAAACCACGCACCCTGGGTCTATATAATTTTAATCTTTTTTCACTTTCACACTGGCACACACGCACGCACACACATGCAGGCAGGGGCGATAAACGATTTTCGGCAGTGGGAGAGGCTACCGAAAATCTCTTAAAATGGGCAAAAAAATCGATTTCTGCGCAAAGCTCCAATTCTGCCGTCTGCTTTTGCTGCTGCTTCTTCGTCTTTATCTGCTTCTTCTTCGCGGGGGGTGTTACGGTGGGCGTTATTTGTTCTTTCTCTCTCCTTTTCGTTTGCGTTTTATTTTCGTTTGTTGCGTACGCGTCGTCGGCGGTGTATGTTGTGTGTGTGTTTGAGAGGGACGCACGACCACCTCTCACGCTCTCGCACACTGGCTGTCTGGGGTGGCACAATTTGTTGTTGTCGCCTATTGTTCAGTCGCACATTACTTGGAAATTGTATTGGTAATATTTTTGTAATTTTTTTTTACAAAAAACCCAAGATTATTTCGCGAATTTTCCCGGCGGCTGTGAGTTTTTTTTTGTTTTTTCGATGCGAACCGAAACGAAACGCAGCACCTCGCGCGGGGCAAAACAATTTTCGAGTGTGACCGCAGCAAAACAGTTCTGAAATATCTTCCGGCTTGCGAAAATATCTCGAAATAAAAATACTACTACTACAAAAATACCAATAAAAAAAATTGAAACAAAATCCCGGAGTTAGCTAAGACTCTCTCCCAGATAATTTAGCATGGGAGTTGCTAATAAACCCGCTGAATTGGTTTCATACTATCATACTATTTACTATTTAATATTTAAGTAAGAGATAGCTGAAAAAGCAAATGTTAATTTTTCAAATTGCTTAATTACGTTTCAGACAGCAAAGTGTTATTTATTTGTAAATTTGGCCTAAAGCAACATTTTTAAAGTGTTTAATGGTTCTAATCAAAATTAAGCAAAGTCTCAAACCAATTCAGCACTGACAATTGGAAATGTTCTGCTCTCTCATTTTCCTTTGCAAAACAAGTGTTTATGAGGCGTGTATGTGTGTGTGGAATGTGGGAAGAGTGCGCTGACGTTCTCTCCACTACATTTTTGGTATATTATTAATTTTGTATTTCATTATTTCAGGCCGGCTCAGTTTTACAATTTAGTTTCTTGCCTTGAAAATAAATTATCTTTTTTGGTTTCAAGGTGTATAAGTTTACATATTTTTATATGATCGTTTTTATTAATAATTTAATTAGGTTTTTGTAAGAGGCCTTTAATTTTTGTTTTGTTCGCCTGGCGTATTACAATTTTGTAAGTAATTCCAAGTGGATTTGTTTATTACTTTTGCGGTCAATTACCGCAGAAATACCCCGAAAACGCCTGGTGAAATGTGCTAAAAATGCCGGCACATTACGTCAACCCAGAGAACAACAACAATCAGCACGGGTTTGTTTGTGGATCCTATTCGATTTGAGAAACGTCATGCGCGTGAATTTTTATGAATGAAACGCGACCGGCACTTTTGTTTAAACGAATTGCGAGCTGAAAAGGAACTAGGCAACAAGCCGTAAAATGCAAATATACATATATATATGCCAAATTTATAAATAAATTTAAAAATTAAGTAATACACAGGGTTGTTAGACACCGCGATCATTTCGAAACGTTTCACAGCACTGGTTAATTTAGGAGCGAAATTTAAAAACTAAATTTATTAAGAGGAATTTTAAAGCTTTTTTGGAAATTCTTAATTATAAAATCACTTTTGAAAATGATGAATTTAAAAGTCGACTTATTCGTAAAGACAATTAAAATACATTTTCTATTTATCTCAAATTTAAAAAAATTACTGAAGATTTTAATAGTGCAAATTTGTATATTAATAGCAATGTAATTAATTGTATTGAAGTTATAAAATATTTATTGTAAGAGTACAATTTAAATACAAAAAAATACTATCTCCATATTCAAATTCCAATATAAAATAAAGTTCGATTGAGCTGTCAACATAACATTATAGGGTTCGTTGAGAATATAAATATCTAACTTTAATTAAAAGCATTTACTAAAACGACTTTTAGTTGGTAATGGTAATAATCGGTGGAAATCCTAATTGTTAATTATTCTACAGATATCCCGGCATGGTTTCCCCATTAAAGGCATATTGAATGATCTTAGGACTCACCGGATATTTCGTCTGTAGTACGATGCCGCATATCTCGTCGCCGACGAGGAACTGCTCTCCGAGCATCGCCATGCAGACGTTCTCCCAGGCGCGCTCGATCTTGTTCTTGCGCAGCCGTATCACCCACTGGCCGCCCTTGCTATTCGCGGGGTCCTCCCACATCGGCTTGATGCCCTGCTTGAACAGGCTGAGCTCCCGGTAGGGTTTCAGGGCGGTAGGCCGGATGAGGTGCGAGTAGAGCGACCACCACTGCTGCACGCTGGCGCACCGGCCGACCACGTGCAGCGACTTGCTGTAGTCGGAGGCCGCCCGCTGCGTCCCCTTGCGGGAGAACCACAGGCAGTATGTGTGCTGCAGACGGTTCTCGCCGGGACCCACTTCCAGTGGCGGCAGCTTGTCCACATCTATCTCGTTCTCCACATCGCTGTCGTCGCTGTCGACGAGATCTGGCCAGATTTTCCTGAAACGGGCGTGCATGGCACACGGGAAAATCGGCTTTTGATTAGTATGTCAAGGCTTAGAATTCAAAATTAACTTAGGTTCACCAGATCACCACATCACCGCACAGCCACATCTCTCTCTCTAAATCACTACCGCTTAAATTAATTTATATTCCACAAAGGAGCCACTATGAAGCTGTCTATCCGTATGTTGGACCAGCGCACCATCAGTCTGGAGATGAGCGACACGCAAGACGTTCGATCTCTGAAACAGCGCCTGGGCAGCCTGCCCGAGGTATCTTTGCCCGTGGAGAGCCTGCAGCTAATATACGGTGGCCGCATCATGGAGGATGTCCTTCCTCTTAGCGAATACCACATAGCCGAGGACAAGTTCATCGTACTCATGCGCAAAAAGAGCGAGCAGATGAAGCCGACGGAGGAACAGGTGCCGCTCACACCGCCGCCAACTGCTTCTCCTAGTGAGGTGGTCACACAGGTGGTGGCGCCTTCAGTAGCTGCCGATGAGCAGCGAGTCCGCGACCTCATGGCCATGGGCTATGGCGAGCAAGAGGTCCGCTCTGCCCTCCGGGCCAGTTTCAATCATCCGGAACGTGCCATAGAGTATCTGATTAATGGTTTTCCTCAGGAAACTCCTTTGGCTACTAGTCCTAGTGGCGAGGCAGCAGAGGGGCTGGAACAACTGGTGGGGGATCCTCGCTTTGACCGGGTGCGTGACATGATTCGAGAGAATCCGGAATTGCTGCAGCTGATCCTGGCCAGACTGGCTGAAACCGATCCGGCCGCCTTTGATGTTGTTCAGAGCCACCAGGAGGAGTTCACAGCTATGCTTACGGGTGGTGACAATGCTGCCAGTGAGGACTCTGAGACGGGAGCCACCGTGCAGGTCAGCCTGACCGCCGAAGACGACGCCGCCGTGGAGCGCCTGGAGGCATTGGGCTTCCATCGCTTGATGGCCGTGCAGGCTTACCTTGCCTGCGACAAGGACGAGCAGTTGGCCGCCGAGATACTGTTCCGCCAGTCGGAGGAGGACCAGGCTGAATAAAGCGATTGGGCGCACGTAAATGCAGCCAGAACATAACCTAACACTTGGCCAAGAGCGAAGGGTGATGCTGGCCCAGTTTTGTTGCTAGCACGGGAGTGATTGAGGAGCGGGTGGGTGGGTGTTGCGCGTTGGTGGAGAAGGTGCGTGCCCCACTTACGACTCGTACTGCTTGCTCGCTACTTTCTCCATGCTCATCCTGGCAATGATCCTGAATGTGCTGCTTGCCTGGTGATCTTCTGCTGGTGGTCTTCTGGTGACTCCTTGGCTGTTCCTGTGGCACTGCTCCAAACCGCTGGAACAAGAACCTGTGGATCCGGGGTGGTTGCACTACTAGATTCTAGTTGCTGCTGCTTCTTCTTCTGGCGCAACTCTTCTTTTGCTCCTTGGCTGCGCGTGTGTTCGTGTGTGAGTGTGTGTGCGAGTGGGTTTTTTTTGGTGGATTCTCTTGTGGGCGAGTTTTTTGGGGCCGCCGCTTCTTAGGGTAGCGGTTCGCTACGAGTGCGCCACTCTCTCTGCTGAGCAATCGTATGTCCTGTGCTTGATCCTTGTGGGTTTCCAGTGGATTTGATTATTTCTTGGCCGTATCGTTTGGTTCGCTCGACTTTAGTTTGACGTTTCTTTTTGTACACAACACAACATGCGTCTGATTAGGTTCCACTTGCGGTCCACATTCCACGCGGCGCTGTCAAAGTGGGCCAGTGCTGCAAGACGCTGAGCGAATTGGACGTTGGCCAACACTATTTACTGTGCAGCTGCATACCGTGTAGTGGAGGGTATACCTTTCCAAAAACAATTTCTAAATATATCTAAACTTATGAGAGACTCGTTCCGTTACAAAAAAACAAGTCAGATGTCTTTGAATTTATTTTTAAATGGTAAAAATTATAGCTATATCTCTTTCAGTCGTTAAAATGCATTACCTCCATTATATTGTAAATATAGTTACTAAAAAGGCTCACCAGTCAAAAGTGATTTTATTAGTTGTTCGAAAGTTGTAAGAATAATGTACCCATTTTAATAACATTAACATAATAAACATTTTATAAAATGGTGCCAAACCTTCTTTAACAAGAACTCACCCCAAACCTGTGTCCAAAATATTTACAGGGTATCTGCTTATCGACTTTTTGGCTGTCACTCTCCTAAAATCGGTTTGTTTACGTTCGTTTGCAAGCCGCTAAAAAAAATGGGTAAAAGTGAGAAAAAATCAAAGAAAAGGCACAAGGAAAAGCGCAGGGAACACAAGGAGAAGCACAAGTCGCGGAAATCCAAAAAGCACAGCCGGAAAAAGGAGGAATCTCCTCCGCCAGCTCCACCACCACAAAAACAACCCGAAAGTGGGAGCGATGAGGAGGACTTTGCCATACCAATAGGTCCGTAAGACCCCCACTAAATATAAATACTGAGTATGTGGTTTGCTGAACACTCTGCCCCCCAAAACTCAAGCACTGATGAACAGCAAATCGCACGCACCGGAAACTCCAGAGGAGTACCAGCGCCGCCAGAGCCAGATCCGAAGGGAGGTGGACCCGGTCACTGGACGCGTCCGCCTCATCAAGGGCGACAGCGAAGTGCTGGAGGAGATTGTGACCAAGGAGCGCCACGTAGAGATCAACAAGAAGGCCACCCGCGGCGACGGCGAGTTCTATGAGGCCAGATCTCTAGACGCCGCCAGGCGTCGCAAATAGCAGAAAACCAAAGGACAACACTTTAGCCATTTCATGTCTTGTAGTAATAATTAATAACTGTCAGTTTTATTAAACAAAAGGCTAGCTAGCGACTATATGTACACGCGAAATCCGTGGAAATTTCTTTGGTGGCGCTGCTAGTACAACTGATGGAAGAAGGTGGTGCTGCCGTCCTGCCAGGCTGGATCGTCACTGACTTTCGCCCGGCACATCGGGCAGGTCTGTTCGCGCTTAAACCAGGTCTGGACGCACTCATCACAGAAAATGTGGCCGCACTCCAGCACAGTGGGGGTGTTGAAGGCGTCATGGCAAATGGGACACAGGGCGCCCGCGGCATCCAGCTCGTCTTTGGTCGGCGCTCGCTCAGAGTCCTTAAAGAAAGTAGTATTATAAATAGGCGCTCGCAAGATCTAAAACAGTTCCAGCCTTACAATATTTTTTCTAAAGGTCACAATAGCTTTCTTAAGCGACTTGCCGCGCTCGACCAGCTCGAATATCTTGGCACCCAGGTACAGGGCGGAAAAAAGTCCGCCGGACACTACCTCCAGGCCCGAATAGGACTCGTACAGAAACAGGAACCACTGGGAAATGGGTGTCATCGCCCGATAGAACTGAGAGATGTATTCCACCAGGACGTAAAGACGGGCCTGTACGCAAAAACAATATGATTATTTGAGGAATCCCGCGATTCATACAGAGATGACTCAGAAATGTCTTCGGTTGAATGTACTAAAGATAGTCATACAAATTTCAACAGTAGATATTTATGTTTCATCTCTGATATAAACAATATATTTATGTAATTATTGCCTAGGAGACGCCTTAATTTTTATTTAAACATTACGTTTCGCGGTCCCTGAATTTTGTCTTAAATTACAAAAAATACTTTGAAGCTATATTTTTTTTAATATCTACGAGTGTCATTTTCCTATCTGTAATAATTGTTTTTGTTGCTTCTAAAAATGCTTTTAATCTTCACTCTATTAAAATATGGCAAAGAAAAAGGCATATACATAAGTAGATGCTGTTAGAATTAAATGTATTTTATTTGTTTTGGGGTAACTAAAAAATCAGTGAAATATTATGGGCTAGTGATAAGGCACCCCATAATTCTTAAACAAATAAAGCTACTGGCTTACTTCCTAATTTTAGCACTGTGCATTCAAGTGGATTATTATCTTTCTCTATTTCATCAATATATAAGTATTTTACGTTTATCGGGCATCGATCCCTCTGTAAAAGTATTACTCACCCGCACTTTGGTTCTCATTATATGGTGCGGCATCATGGTAATTATAAGTTTGACCAGCATTGTCAACAGCTTTAAAATGAGATCGCTCACAGCAATGTAATAAAGCAACATGCCCAGCGGGATCACCCTTAGGGCATCGTACGTGTCCGTCGAAATGGAGCCCTTGAGGGTCTCCGATGAAGTTGTGGGATGGCCAGTCAGCAACTTGTCTCCTTCGGAGCTCGTGTGATAAGGCAGCGCTGTGATCTCCATCGTAAAGTATTTCCGGGGCGGCGGAACAATCAGCCCCAACGGATCCGGTGGGGCAGTGGCCAGAAACAAACGCACTGCGACAACCACCCCAATAAGGCAGGAATCCCTCACCATCACGGCGTAGTTCTTCTGGGCCAGTCGGGCCACCTGATTACGCACCGATCGGTTCACATTGTACATTACCGTCTGCAGCACCAGGAGATCAACAATTCCCAACAGATGGTCGTGTATGAACTTGATGAACAGTATAAAGATCAGCGGCAGGTAGCGTACAAAATGGCTTAAAATCTGCACCACCATGTCGTCTGAGATGAGGTGTTCGTCCTCTGGATGATTCTCTGGGGCCTCTATTTGGGGATTGGCAGCTGCTCCTCCGCCTCCGTTTTCCCCGTTCCCACCGCCATCGCCCAGATCATCGCTCTCATTCAGTTCGTGCTCCTCGAAGGCCACCGGATTGCTGTGTAGTCCTATCATACTGGCATTGTGCCGTCCTCCGTTAAGGCCATGATTGTGCCGCATCTCGCCCTCGCGAAGAGAGATGCTTCTGCCCATGGGACCAGCTCCACTGGGCCCAGCTCCTCCGGTCACGCGGCTGAAACGCAGAGGGCTGACTGGCTCTGGAAGCGTTTGCTGCTGCTGGCTGAGCAGTATGTGCGAATTGTCTACAGGATTGGCGGCTGGCTGAGGTCCTGGTGCCGCTGAAGCAGCCGCTGCAGCTGGTGGATACCTAAAATTGGAATGTGTAATAAAGGAGCGCAGCGCCTCCGTCGAAGGGGCCGTGGAAAGGGAGAAGACATCGTTGAGATTGACGCGCCAGAAGCCCATTTGCCGCACACCTGCCGCCGTTCCCGGCGATGGTCCTGGGCCACCGGTTGCACCGGAACTGGGAGGCTCCTCCAGACTGCCACCGGTGTTGGCGCCCATGCTGCGGGACTGCTGGAGCCGGCGGTTCATCTGTGTGGTCACCCGCACCGGGGAACTGCTGTTGCTGGCCGGCGTATAGGATCGCTGTCGGGCCAAAAAGGTGGACAGGATGTTGCCGTGTCTGTTGTTCCCACCGCTCAGGCTGCTGCTTCGGGCCGTGGGTACATGGCCGTGCTCCAGGTTGATGCTGGTGTTAGCTGATCCCCCAAGGGCAACGCCTCCTCCTCCTCCACCGCCGCCCCCTCCAGTTGTGGGCAGCAGGTAGTCGTTTTCCGCCGTGGTCGAGTCATTGTCGTCACTCTCGATGCTGATGGACACGCCCGCCGATGCACCGCCGTCCTGGGGGCCACCGCCTCCGCCTCCTCCTTGGGGATCCTTGGGGCTGTTCATTGTTCCACATCCAATCACCATTTGTATACTGGCTCTCTTCTTTTCCCGTCAAGAATACCAAAATGCCACGCAAAAGTGCTTGCATTTTGGAAACGCCGTCAGCTGGGCACACTATTGTGACTAATTTAGAAACAGTTTTTAAAAGATTAATAAAACATTTTTTGAATTTAAGATAAACAATTGTTTAATCATTTATATTTAAATCTATTAAATCTTCCTTTCATTTCAAAAAGAACGACTAAATAAGATAATGTGCGTATGGGCACACTTTGAGGTGGAACATGAGTGGAATGTAGGATTATTACTCATGAAAGTAAAGAAAATGCTGTTTACTTTTTAAATATTTTTTTCCAGGGGCGTTACGAAGATTTGGCGAAGGGGTCCCGGAATTTTTGTAACAATTTTGTTGGAGCTTTTTTAAATAGCAGTTCTGCTCTGGAATTGTGAGAGCATCAAAAGGATTTCCCATTTTGTGCACTTAGTACACCCATATTCACTCTTAAATACCAATGGGTATTTTAAAACTTAATGTTAATTATTGATAACGCAGTCCGTACAAATCTTTCCCAGTATACATACATGCTACTTTGGCCAAGGTGTTTCCTCAGCCAGGTTGGCCGAGCGGTCTAAGGCGCCAGATTTAAGCTCTGGTTCTCGTGAGAGAGCGTGGGTTCGAACCCCACACCTGGCAAAAGGATGTTATTGTTTTTTTTAAATTTTTTTTTTTTTTTTTTAGCATGCTGATATAAATTTTATTGATGCTTTAGTTACACTTTATTAATAAAAGCTCTAATTGTATGAGAAAAAATAAAAGCTTTCAAAGAATAAGAATTTTTGCTGGCAAAGCAAACTAAAGAGTAAAATAACACAGAACGCTATTCAATTTTGAGATTCAACTGAAAGTTGTTTTTCGTTTTTATATATTTTAGTTTCTGTTTAATTAATTGTGACCCGAAAATTTAAAAATATGTATATTTAATTTTTAGTTTATATATCTGCTTAAATATACAGTTTAAATCAATTTATTTAACGATACCTCAATTTAATTGACACGCTTGAAAAAGAAAAGAGTTTTATTCTACTCCATAAATTAATTTTTTAATTTCTTCTTTGGCCTTGTGGTGCATTGTTTTGACCACCCTTATATGGACTTTGCTAGTGGATTGATAAGGATAATGCAAATGGCTCAGTTACCGCCAACCAACCGCAATTAAACTGACCCAAAGCCGTTGCCTGGTAACCCCGAGCGTCCACAACAACGGGCTGGGTTCAGGACCAAGAAACGTGGACAAAACCACCACCGCCACCAGTTTAGGCACCAACGAAGGACCAAGGACAAACCCTTGCAACCCGTCAGGTCAGTTAGGTTTGTGTATGTAAACAAAGAACACCTAAAAAGTGATCAAAAGGTCGAAAATATTAACAAGATGCAGCCTACAAATGTTGAAATAAATTTATTGGGTAAATGAAAAAGTTTTATTACTATACATAAAAATCTAATATATACCCGTGTTTGGTTGATAACGTAAACAATAAAAATGATTAAAAAGGATTCACAATTACCAAAACTGACAACTTAAATTGTTTAGTGAAACATAATTCTATAATTAACAAAGAGAATTAATCAATAATTCTTAAATATAATATAAGTTTATATATAACTCAGACCAATAAATATAATTAACTCAAAGCCCCCAATTAGTCACTTTGTAAAACATTTCGGTTTCGAAAACTACCCTCTTATAAGAAATAGGTTAGTGAATTATTTCCAAACATTACCTGATGAAATTGTCACTAAAATATATTTAATAGAACAACTTGATTAAAATGGCATATTTCTATCCTAACGCCAAGGACAATCGACCAGGTCAGTTGAGTTTTGTTGACCTAAACAAAGACGTGCGCCGCCAATACAGAAACCCAAAACGCGCAAATAAAAAATTAAGTCAAATGTGCAATTAAAATATAAATATTATTTATTATACAGTATAGTATGGTGTATATTCTATATTCGTGCATGTGCATGTGCATGGGTGGTGTGTGTGTGTACATGTTTTTTTAACGTGCCTAATCTTCTTAGATGGATGTTGAACCCCATTGGCGTAAACAAAAAAAAGAAATAGTATAGAATGCGAAAATATAATCTATATGTGTTTCTATATATTCCATTATTGATCAGTCTGTGTAATCTCTCTCGCTGGCCCGCCTGATGCTAAATGCTAGATGCTGACTGCTGACTGCCAATGCTGATGCTGATGCAGTGGCTCCGGCTGGCTGTGGCTCCACCCGTTCAATGAACCGGCACCGTGATGCGGGGCGATAAACTTTTGGTCGTGGTGCGATTCCGGCGTTGCAAAAACAGCTTCACGTTCTCAAGTGGCAGCTGGAAGTGATAGTAGGCGCAATAAGGCAGCGGATCCCAGTAGGCGAACAGTGCCTCCCTCTTGTCCAGGGCCGTTGTCGAGGTGCTCCTCTCTAGCGCCGACCAGCTCCAGTTGGGCAGCTCGTCCTCCGGCAGTCCCCTCCTATGGATGCACTTCATCGCGCGACACAATAGCTGGGCATGCGATCTATTGTGACATATGTAGGGCAGGGCCACGCCCAGTCGCGTGCCCAGTGGCACGAATTGACCCCCGTGGGCGGGGCTCTTGACCAGCCGGAAGCTGATGTGTCCATTGATGGGTCTCTGGAAGCGCACCTTGGCGAAGAAGGAGCGCAACCAGAGTTCTATCTGCGCCTCGTCATCCCGGGGCACTGGTATCAGGTTCTTGGTGTGGTGCTCCACCCTGCAACTTACATTGGCCACCACCCGCGAATCCTTGACGGTGGTGCAGGTCACATAGTGATGATAGCCCGGCTGATCCCGCACCACCAACCATGGTTGTCTCTCGCTGATTTCATGCTGGTTCAGCTTCAGTTCCGCTCTCCTATTGGGCAATATGTACTTGTGCCGCTCCAGCACTCCTTGCATTCCGGCGGCCATCAGGATGTTCCTGTAGCTGCCCACGAAACCACTCTCGTATATCTGTTGCAACTGTCGGGGAGCAGTCAGGACCACATGGGCGGGCAGAGCCATCTGTTGCTGCTCGCATCTCTGGAAGAGCTGCAGGCAGTCATCCAGTTGCTGGGTCTCCTGCACGCCCGGTATGAAACTGGCACAGCCCAGTACCTCCAGGTGGGGTCGGGCCAGGGCATCGTAGTAGGCCGGACTGGTGGCGCACACCGGTACATAGACCGAGGGTCGCTCCTTCTTCACTATGTGGCACAGGGCGGCTATGTACTGATCTGGATTGTTGGCCGTGGGTCTGGGCACCACATAGAACTTATCCACCGCCGTGGAGAAACGGGCCAGTCCAAACAATCCCTCAAACTCGAAGACCACCACTCGAGCGCCGGATCCGTAGAAGTTCCTGGCCAAGTGGAGGGTCTGTATGGTGCTGCCGCAACTCAGGAGAATGGTCTTTTGGCGCTGCACTGCACCCAGTTCCTCCTCGCCGCTCAGTAGCCACTTGACCAGGGCAATGGGCACCCGCAGGAGTTTCCAGAAGATCCAGAGCAGAGCCGACAGCCAGAAGCTGGGCGCCGCAATGGAGAGGGGTATGTAGAGCACATATCTCAGGATGGTCAGGACCAGTCTCATCAGCAACTGGGGGCCAAAGAGCAGGACTCGAGTGCCCAAATTGGGTTGCGGCGGCGACTGCGTCTGGAACTGACTCCTCAGGAGACTGCCATCCGCAGTTCGCTGGCGTCGCAGGGTGACAAAATGCCTGTGCGGCGTCTGCGAATCCTTGTCCTCCTCCTCCTCCGACTGACTGGGGTGCTCCGGGATCAGATCCAGCGAGTTGATGCGCCGAAACTTTGAGCGCGAGGCCTGGCGCAGTTGCCGGGCGTGCTCCTGGCGCAACAGCAGATCGTCCAGGGTCTGGGACATCTTCACTCTCTCACTCGCGTATTCCGTATTATCTCTATCTCTGCCGTGTAATCTTCGATTATCGCTGCCGTGCTGCTGCTGGCAAAATCCGAACTGTGACTAAAGCGCGTATTAAATAGGAGCTATACTTTAAACCTATGGGATGCAGCGGTGGCAATTGATAACCCACCCCAGACACATGTCCATCGGTTGGGATCGGCCAATCCCTGTCTATACCTGCACTGCTAGAAAACTTTACACACTAATCTTCCAGCGTTTGAATTGTTTCTGATATGAGCCCGAATGAATAGGTCTAATGGCTCTTTATCGCACTGATTAGTTAATTGCACTATTTTTATTGGAGCTTGAAATTTACTTCGGCAACACGTATTTTCTAAGAGCTTATAAATAGCACTATCAGACTCAGACACTACAAAAACCTTTAAAGTTTAAAGTACATATTTCAAAATAGTGACCTTAGGAGTAGTGACTTGCTTTCAATTCTGGTAGGTCAGTAATCTTAATGACTATGCTGGTGGGCTTATCATAAAATATATTGATGGTTGCTATGCTAGAGCTTTGCTTCATAAAGAAAATTCAATTCAAAGAAGGTACCAAGATTATAAAATCAGAATATTTAATATTAAAGTTCACATTGTTTTAAAACTAATTGGAAACTAATTGACTATTAGTCATTTTTGAGGAATCCATTAAAGCATTCGTTGAAAATATATTTTATTGCACTACAAATGCTTTATTACACCGCTTGCAACCTTTTTGTGATGTTAGTCTTAAACATAATCTCTACAAATAATAGTAATACTGAATATTATTTTCCGACTATGCCAGATCAAGATGATGAAATGGCTGTGCTTATATATAGACGATGACAGTCTTTGGAAGATTCTCAGTGTAGCAGTAATTAGCTACCGCACATATAGACTTGTGTGGATGATCAGCCGAACAGTGTGTGTAAACGTGATGTTTATTGTCGCCAACTCTCCGGCAGATTCGCTCGCCTCTGGCCGTCTGTGATCTTTTGCAATCGGCTTATAAATCATCGCCGCAGATTGAAGGTTCCAGCGAAGTGGCGCCCGTTGTCAAGAGAGAAGGCGGTGGTGTCCGAGAATTCGGAGAGTTCGATCGATGCAGCGCAGGTCCCCAAGCAGATCCAGATTATTGCTCAGTGGGACTTTGGTCCGGCACACACACTCGCAAGGTATTCAATCCCATTTCTGCTGATAAGGGGTCTACTGTGAACCCGAGAACCCGAGAAAGAGAAACGCGACAGGCAAACTTATGCTTGGAATAATCTCACACCTACACATAGTATAGACCTTATGGCATCGGGCCGAGATTAAAAACTGAAAGTGAAGCAAACAAACACCTTAGTGGCGAATGCATAACCAATCTTCGGACTTTGAGAGTCTACTCGTACACATAGTTGTTTCCACATCTGCACACGAGTTATATAGAAATAAATCTGTGTACCTGCCACTTTGATATTTTCTCAAGGTCGCTTCTCAGGTTAAAAGCGGACACTGATAAGCATACTTATTTTATTTTAATATATTTAAATTAAAACGTTTAGTCTATTTTTTCTGACATTTTTTCGTTGTTCAGCCATAGAAATAGCTGTCTCACCTATGTACCTACTATATGGTATAGCCGTGTGGCTTGCACGAGTATGCAGTTCTCTGATATGAACGATGGCGATAACCTAAAGGTCCTCCACCGCAATAGAATTCGCAACCTGTGCCAGGAAACATTTTGACATTTGCTTTCAGCGAAGGCTAACTCAGTATTCGCGGCGATCGGTACATTACGTGAACGAAGATAATGCTAAGCTGATCTGAACCTTTTGTAAAGTCAGAAAAAAATTATGAAATAATAAAATAAAATATTTGTCATTAAAAATTTTTTTTAAGAAATGACTTAATAATTTTTTTGTGCTCAAGACAGACATTTTTGTTAGATGTATACCCAAACCTATTTATTTTCTTTAACTATTTGTCGTCGACTTAATAATACATATACATATGTACACAAGGGTTCGACTATTCATAGAAGCTCATTTATATTCACCGCAAATAAATCATGAAAAGGGTTAATAGCATTGACAGAGCCTCCTGTACACTCCCAATTTATGGCCCCGCTAGTTGACTTATTAAAAGCAGTTAGGCATGAACGATGTGACCAGGAGAGGAAGCACCCACCACCAGCTATACCGCTGCCTATGGGTTATACCCCATCGATATCGCCCGATTTGACCGACCGCATTCGGAATATGCTTCGAGACACGATTTGCATTTGTTGCTCGCTCGCACGCCAAACATAATTGTGAGCTCCAGCTCCTCTTTCCGTAATCAATTGCGGTTGCCGGTGGTAACCAGGAATTTGTTAATTCAATGTTTATTCTGCCCCAGTCCTATGCACCCGGGAAAGTTGCAGTCCCCAGACGGAACAGGCCCTAATGGCGGTTAGTTTGAAAGGGGAATCCTTTCTTCCTCCTTGCGAAAAGTTGGCTGGGCGCTCAGTTGGCTTAGTTCCGCGGGCCCAGACAGTTCGATTCCTAGTCAACCCAGCACAGCCCAGTTAGGCCCTGATTAACTTTCCCTCCCGAAAAGCGTTTGTTGCGTTAGTACTTCCGCATTCCGCGAATTTGTGTCAATTGCCACCAGGCAGAACACGTTAGCGGAGGAGCCGCAGTCCTCGAGCCCCAGGATTCCGTGATAACTTGATGAGTATTCAATTGGAGCTCAATCAGTTAACAACAGTGTCTAGTGCGCGGTCTTAATTCGGACGGAAAATAAAACGATACAAAAGGAAGTGCCTGAAAACTCAACTCAAGGTATAAAGTGGTATATCAGCCACATATTGCCAGTGAGAAGTAAGTTACAGATTGTTGTTCGAAAAGTGCATCCTGTTTGATAAAAAAAATTTTAATTAAAATCAGATAAAAGCTTTAGAAGTGTAAATCAAATATATGTTGAGTAAGAATGATTGAAAATTATAAAATGTTATTGGTTCCTGGTTTATTTTTTTAGGGCTCAATTCTTAATTAAAGTTTAACAAACCTTAATGCATACAATTATAAATATGATTTAACAAAAGAATTCCTAACATTTCACTTGCATTTTTTGGTTTTACATTAATTAATTTTTCTTTGCCTTATTAAATACAAATAAGTTTTGCTTTAAATATCGTTCAGTATACAAAACGTTAAATGTGATGATAGTTTTTTTGGCAATTTGATTCATTTGTTACTGAAAGTATCTGAAAAGGTATTTAATTTTAATAACACAATGCTTCCTAAGATGGTTGACTAGTTCAACTTAAGCAAAATAAACACTTCATAGCTAATTTATTCTATAAATATTACCAATATGTTAGGTAATAGCTTTCCAATATATATATTGAATCGATGTCCTTTTCAACCGAAGACATCGTTGATATTTTCTCGATTGGCCCACTCTGCACATAAACAAGAATTACGACCACCATTTGGCTGAGCCCTCGGTGATAGTAAATTGTGAACCAAAATAGAAAGTTCAAGCGACCAGACGCAGATTGCATGCCAAATCATAGTCGCACTATCAAGGATATTATTATTATATTTTTATTGTTTGCATAAACACAAATGGCAGTGGGTTGGGAAGGGGGAGGGGTTTGGTTGCATGAGGAGGACAGCATAAGGAGCTCCAAATTAGAAGACGCATTCGTGTCAAAGGAAGTTTCAACAGCGGCGGAAATGTTGTTTATTAAAATAAATACGAGGACAAGGAAAATATTATTACTTTTGGGGGTGGAGTTGGGAGTCGGATTGGAGGAGCATGGGGGTGGTAAACACAAACACTTGCTGTCCTGGTGACAGACTGTGCAATGCGTGCCGTCCCAGGCCCAAAAACTATTTACTCAAGTGGGCCCCCAAAAATATCATTCGAAAGTATGGACGTACCGGAAAGAAATCCTGCCTTTGGCTGGGATCCTTAAACGATAATGAAGGGGGGCGCTGAGCTTGTTTATTTGCGAGGGAACATCACCTCGGTGCAGCTGTCATGACGACTGGCTCCAGTCCCGGAACAAGTTAATAAATCAATTTGGACTAACTTATCGAGTCGTTCTGGAGCGTAGGCGAGGCGCCAAACTTTTAGCCAGAAAGTTTCCGATTCATATAGCCCATACCCTTTGCCTGTAAGCTGAAAGGGTTGCCTGGATTAAAATGAATGGAAGGGTCGGTTTCTATATCATACTTATTTCCATTTAATTTCTATGCATTGAGTTAAATGTTATTAACATTTATTTCTGATAAACATATTTAAGCCAAAATAACATTAGGGTAAAAGCAGGAATTAATGATTTATAATAATACATATATAATTTAAAGTATCTTTATTAAATTTAAATCATAGTATGAATAAGAAATGAAAAATCGTTTTAACCTAGTTGTCTTTTTTAAAATACTCTGGCATACATACAAAATAAAAATATTTGATTTTATTTAATAAATATTAATATTATATTATTAACATTTTAAACGTATATTTTATATGATACACATATATTAATTTGGTTAAAAAAAGCCAGGGTAAGGTATAGTTTTGATAATCCAAAATACATAACTTTTATTTGATTTCCTGCTGTTGCACGCAATGGTAACCGCAACACAGCAATTTCACTGGAGAAAGCAAATCAAACTCACTCTACTTTCCCCAACTCCACCCACAGATGCAGGCGTATCGCGATAACTTCAAGCAAACGCCCTGCCCATCGGCCGTCGACCTTCAGGCGGCGCCACCACCCCACCCACCGGCGACCGCCTCGCGCCTCCCCTTCTCGCGCAGCCAGCGTGGGCGTGACCCCTCGGCCAGTGCCGCCTCCGTTTGCGCCTCTGCCGCCGGCGCCCTCACGCCCAGGATGATGAGTCCGGGTCCGCCGGGCGGAGGAGGAGGCGGTGGGAGCGGGGGTGATCCCTCGGCCCTGCTGCGCCAGAATCAGGAGCTGCGCCAGCGGCTGGCGGACGAGTCGCATAGCTATCGACGCCGCCTGGACACCTACAAGCAGGCGCAGCACAACCAGGCCAACTTGGTCAGCCGGCTGCAGTCGAAGATCCAGCAGTACCGTCAGCGGTGCAGTGATCTGGAGGATCGCATGCACGAGACCATCAAGCCCACGGCGGGGACAGGACCCAAGTTGACCACGGGTCCCACCACCAGTCAAGTGCTGGTAAGTAAGCGGATAGGTAACATTTCTTACGTTTTCAAGTTGGACAATTAAGTTTTCGAAAAGTGTACAAAAACACTACTTTTAGGATATATAAACTTCGGTTTGCGGAAGCTTGCTTCTTGAGCTATGAGTTTTAAAATACAAAATATATGTTCGATTTTGTATTTAATAGTTCTATAGGTTGTTAGAAATATAAAAAAATATTTTTGAAGTGTTAATAAAAAGTTAAAAGGAACATTGTGTATGAGTATTGAAATATCATTGCTAAGATGTATTTTCTAGCATGCTTGAAAAATATTATTAAGTTTCAAAATTGTATAAATTATTAAATAAAATATTAAATATTAAATATTAAATAATTCAAATTCAAAGAATTATACAGACGACCGATTTTAATAAACGTTTTAATCAATAAGAAACAGCAACGTTATGTATGAGTAATACGTTTTTCGTTTATTTTAATCTAATGTGTTTTTTTGTAGTATTTTATATAATTTGGAAGTCATAGGCTAATTTGATTGCAATTATCATTAAAATTCGAATGTGTATATGTAAATATAAAAAGCGATATCATTATGTAGCGGTTTCAAGATGATTTATGATGTTTAAATATATGTACCTTGTTTTTCCCCAGTGCTCCACTTCCCTGACCCTGGGCCAGAGCAGTTTGCCCTGCAGTTCCTCTCTGGACTCGCCACCGCCCAGCTGCAGCCGGGACTATGTCCACGACGATGTCCTGGTCACCGGCGGCGGAACAGCGGATCTGTGTCGCAAGCTGGAGGAGGAGCACCAGCGCTGCGAGCAGATCCTGGCCCAGAACAGTGCTCTGCGCCAGCAACTGGAGGAGTCGAATCGCACCAACGAGGCTCTGACCAACGACCTGCAGAAGCTGACCAACGACTGGGCGGGCCTACGAGATGAGCTGCTGATCAAGGAGGATGAGTTCAAGGAGGAGGAGCAGGCCTTCAAGGACTACTACAACAGCGAGCACAATCGCCTGCTGAAGATGTGGCGAGAAGTGGTGGCCGTCAAGAGATCCTTCAAGGAAATGCAGACGGCCATGAAGGCGGAGGTGGCCAAGATGGGTCAGGAGATCAGCTGCGTGGGCAAGGACATCAGTGGCTCCAATGCGACGGTGGCCTTTGCCCATCAGCAGGCCAAACGGGCGGCAGATGAGGAACTGAAGCAATCGCAGCGTAGCAACGATGAACTGCAGAACCAATTGGCTACATTGAAAGTCCAATACGAGAGCGCCCGCCACGAGATCATGGAGCGGGATCAGCGGCTCCTCGAGCTGATGAATCAGTTGAAGAAGCTGGAGGATCGCTGTGCCCAGGCGGAATCGCAGGCGGCCCTGGCCAGTCGCTATAGCGATGAGATCGAGCGTCTGAACAATTCCATGCGCGAAATTGCCCAGGCCGTCGTTCAAGATGCAGAGAATGCGGATCGCGAGGCAGACGCCGAGGTCACCGGTGGGGTCATGCAGCACATGCACCTGACGCGTGACGCCGCCTCCGTGGCAGGTGGACCGGGAAGCACCAGCGGCGGTGGTGGTGGAGGTAAATCCCCACGTCGGAACTCTACACGCGCATCTCAGGCCTTCGCCGAGGGCACCATCTCAGCCGTCCAGGCGGCGCTCCACAAATACCAACTGGCCCTCCACGACATGCAGGTTAAGTTCCAGCACTCCAGCGAAACACTGCGCACCACCAAGTCGCAGTTGGAAACCAGCGAGGGCACCAAGCAGCTCCTGACCACCAAGATGCAGCAGCTCACCGAGAAACTGGACAGCAGCAACTCCAAGCTATCCGAACTGCTCCAGGAGCGAGAGAGTCTGCAGCGGGGACTGGACGAAGTCCGCACCCAGAAACAGCAGTCCGAAATGGGACGAGCCGATATCAATAGTGCGGTAAGTGGGCAAAGAACAAAACTACAAAGTTCGTTCATGATATTAATAAAACTATTAAATCAAAAGCGACGTTCACTTGAAGATAATATTGCCAATAGAATCAATTCGTCATTCGAAAAACTTTAAAAAGTAATTTAGCTATAATTTATTATAAATATTATCGCTTGATTCCATTCTGAAATTTTTTAATTAATGATTAAAGAGGAATTTCTGGTTTTTTTCAAAGTGTGGATGTCAAGGCAGATTGGGGGCGGATCGGCGATAACTCGATTAGTCTGCGTCTGAGTCTGATTACGCCGTAGATTATATATTAATGATTTTTCCAATTCAAATCCGGGGTGATGCCATGTCTGCGATGAGTTACAAATTATGGCTGCGAAGATTGCACTTGCAGACGGCGTGAGTAGAAATGACAAGGGGCTGAGTTCATCAGCACTGGGATTTCGTATCTCTAAATGGGTTGCTCAGGATCAGGAATAATGTTTAAAATAGAGTAGAAAAATTTCTTATACAATAATGGCGTTAAGGAAGAAAACGAAATCTAAACTGATTTTTAGATTATAAATATTGTCTTTCAAGTAAACTTGTCAACTAAATCAAGCTTAGTCAATACCAACGAGAGAATTAAAAACAATATATATTTTAGGAACTTTTTAAATATTTAGAAGGTACAAATGAGCAAATCGAATTGTGTATAGCAGTTAAAATTTAAAATATTATAACTTTTGATGATTAAACAAAAACACCTCCCTTTATATTTAAGTTATAACCACATTATATCCATTCATTTAGTTTGAAAACCTGAGCGGTGACTATGAGAAGCTTCAGCTGAGCTATGGAAAACTGCAGAAGCGCATCGATTCCATGGAGGAGGACAAGAAGGCCGTGGAGCTGGAAATCCAGCGTATTCTTAAGGACAAGAACATCACCGAGTTGAACCTAAGGTAGGTGATCTAAGTACTATATGAAAGACAGCTAGTAAACCCCTCAAATCCCAACAGATCCGAGGAGGATCGCAGCAGTCGGTTGAGGGAGGAGACCATTTCGCTCCGCGAGGAACTCAACCGGGTGAGCCTGAACCGGGATCTTTTGGAACAGCAGCGCATCGAGTCGGACAACCTGATCAACCTGCTCGAGAAGCAGAAGTCCGACTTGGAATACGATCTGGACAAACTGCTACTGGAAAAGTGCGATCTGCAGGAGAAGCACGAGAAGCTTTCCAACAATAGCTGCTCTACTACCGATGAACTGAAGAGCGTCCAGAGCTGCCTGCAGGAAACACAGGAGGAGCGCAAGAAGCTGCGACTCCAGTCCGTCGATCAATCCAACGAGATTGGAGAGCTCAAGAAGGAGCTGGCTGTACTGGACAAGGCACGACTCGAACTGGAGACGGACAACCTGTCCGCTGGCGAGAAGCTCAAGTGCCTGCAGTTGGAGAAGGAGAAGATCCTTCAGGATCTGGCCTGCGTCACCCGGGATCGTGGTGACATCCACAATCAGCTCACAGCCATGTGCCGTAAAAAGGAGGCTTTGAACGAGGAACTCATGCGGACGCGTCAGCGTTTGGAACAAACCACCGAAACAAACAGTCGCCTCAATCGGAATCTGGAGGAGATGGTCAAGGATGTGGAGGAAAAGCAGGTGGTCATCGATCTGCATGAGAAGGACACACATCGCTTGAACGAACTCCTGGCAGCACTGCGTTCTGAGAAGGAGTCTCTGGAGTCGGTGCTGTTCGATACCAACACCTCACTGGAGGCCACCGAAGAGCGACGCAGCCAGCTGGAGCGGGATCTCCAGGAGGCTTTGGTAAGGGAGGAATCCCTGAAGAATCACGTGGCTCGCCTGCAGAAGGATCTGGAGCAATGCCAGCGCAAGGCGCAGGAGACTAAGACGCAGTTGCTCAATGCAGCCCGGGCGGCGGAGAGTGACTTCAACCAGAAGATCGCCAATCTTCAGGCCTGTGCAGAGGATGCGGCCAAACGACATGGAGAGGAGATTCTGCAGTTGCGAAATGCCCTGGAAAAGCGGATGCAACAGGCTTTACAGGCCTTGCAAACGGCCAAGGATGATGAGATCGAGAAGTTGCAGGAGCGACTGGCCACCTTGCAGGCCCATCTCGAGAGCCTTGTCCAGCAGCACGAGGAGGCACTGATCCGGGCCGAGAGCGAGAAGCAGCAGGCCTTGTTGATTGCCCACCGGGACAAGCAGGCGGTGGGCGAACGCCTGGAGGCCGTGTCCCGGGATCTCAAGACCGAACAGGAGTCCCTCGATCGCAGCAGGCGTGAGGCTAATGCGCGGGATGAGAAGCAGAGGGCTGCGATCGCTCAGCTCAAGGACGAAATGGTGCACATGCGCACTAAGGAGGAGGAGCACAAGTGAGTAATTCGATTTCTGTGAATTAAAAAAGTAGCAAGTGCCCTGTTCCCTTACTAAAGCACATTTTTATTGGTCCACTTTGTAGAAAACATTCAAGAAAATGCTTTCCCCATTAAAAAAAGACAATTATTGATAAGAACCACCCGACTAAGCGCACTTAGCTCAACTAAACGCGTTCAATATTATATATCAAGGACTTTTAGTTATATTAAGAACTTTGGTTAATAATTTATTGTATCCCACAGGATTAAGCTAGAGGAGTGCATCCGCAGGCAGGAGCTTCAGTTGAGTAGCATACGGGAGGAGCGCGAAACTCTCAGCCGTGTGAGTGAGGAGTTAAAGATGGAGATCCGGCTGAAGGAGGACAAAATGGAGGGCACCAACAACGAACTGCAGGATGCACTGCGCAAGTCCAAGGAAGGTGAGTACTAATGCACCTAATCCTCACTTGAGATCCCTAAAATCAAGCCCATAACTTATATTCCAGGCGAGGGCTTCATTGACAGTTTGCGGAAGGAGTTAACCGACTGTCGTCGGCAGTTGGCCGATAGCAACATCGAACGGGACAAGTATTCCGGCAGCAACAAGGAGTTGCGCGACCATGTGAAACGCGTGGAAAGCGCAAAGCGGGAACAGGCTCGCGCCATCGAGGAAGCTCTGCAGAAGATCAGCAATCTGGAGGACACCAAGAACTCTTTGGAGAATGAGCGCACCCGATTGAGCACCATTCTCAAAGAGACGGAGAATCACTTTACGAAGACCACACAGGATCTGAATGCCACCAAGGCGCAGCTGCAGAAGGCCCAGGTGGAGTTTGCCCAAAAGGACGAGGGTGGCAAGGAGCTTCAGAGCAAGCTGGTCGCTGAAGTGGAACTGAAGGAACGGGCCCAACAGGAACTGTGCCAGATCAAGAAGCAGTTGTCCGACTTGGAGGCCAATCTGTGTGCCACTCGCCAGGAATTGGGCAGAGCTCGTTGCCAGAACAACCAGGAGGAGCACCGATTCCATGCCAGGGAGCAGGAGTTGGCCCAGCGGTTGGAGGAGGGTCGGGGCAGGGAGAAGCGACTGGAGGATCAGAAGCACAACCTGGAAGTCTGTCTAGCGGATGCCACCCAGCAGATTCAGGAGTTGAAGGCCCGTCTGGGCGGAGCCGAAGGTCGCATTCGAGCCTTGGATGAGCAGTTATCCTGCGTGGAGCTGCACAAACGGGACACCGAGCAGAAGCTCTCCTCAGTGGTTCACACACTGCGCAGGATCGCCGGCATCCAAGTGGACGGCAGTGTGAATCTCTCGCATCGCTTGCTAAGTCCATCGAGGAGATTCAGTCCATCTCGCAGTTGCGGAGATTATGATAACAGAAGCACTTCACAGTGTCCGGATGGACCCATCGATGTGGACCCTGATCTGGTGAGAAAGGGAGTTCGCAACCTCATGCACCAGGTGGCCCAGCTGGAGCGCGAGAAGGATGACTACAAGTCCCAACTGGGAGCAGCCAAGAAACAGCTCCAAGATGCCGCCGAGCAGCAATTGAAATGCGATGCCAAACTGAGCAAGCTGCAGGCCATGTTGAGGAACCTCCAGGAGGAGAAGAGCAACCTGGAAACGGATCGAAAGATGAAGATCTCCGCCATCCAGGCGTTGGAGGAGAAGCTCAAGCACCGCAGCGACGAGTGTCAGTTGCTGCGGGAACGCTTGGCCCAAACTGAGATGCAACTGGCGGCCACCTCTGAGGAAAATGGCCAGAACGAGGAACGCCTGGAGAAGAGCCGACAGCAGTGCTCCAAGCTGGACAACGAGAAGCGTCAGTTGCAGGAGGAACTGGCCAAGGTGGAGGGCAGGGCCAGCAAGCTCGATCTCCAGCGGGTTGCCATGGAGGGGGATCTCACCCGGCTGCAGATGGCTCTGCAGGAGAAGGACTGCAGCATTCGCCAGATGGCCGAACGACTGGAGAACCAAAATCGCGCTCTTACCCAATTGGAAGATCGCTGCACCGCCCTCAAGTCCACTGTGGATCAATTGAAGGAACGCCTTCAGAAGTCCGCCGTGAGTGAAACCCAGCTGAGGGGTGAGCTAAAAACCTTGCAGAAGGAGCTCTCCGAGCAAGGTCACTGCTCGCAGGCCAACGAGGACAAACTGAAGCTGGTGCAGAAGTCCCTGCAGACGGCCGAGAACGAAAAGCGAATCCTCACCGAGCGCCTGGACAGCGCCCAGACCAATCTCAACGAGCTGCGTCGCAGTCAGCAGGCCCAACTGGATGGCAACCAGCGGCTGCAGGAGCAAGTCACCGATCTGGAGGTGCAGCGCTCGGCTCTGGAGTCGCAGTTGCGCATTGCCAAGTGGAACCAGGAGAGCGGCGGCGACAAGGCAATGACCAATGGCAATGGCGGAGGCAATGGTGAGGAGGAACTAAGCAGACAACTGAAATCCTCGCAGCGGGAAAAGTCAGAGCTACGCAGCAAACTACAGACACTACAGGTGGGTCAATTGGACTAATTTCTAACTTTATGATTATTTAGAATTAAAGAGTTTTATAACCATCTCGCTTTCATTGCAAGTCATTATTGGCTTAACTGCGTATGAGTGATATGCTACTAAACTATTACCCATACGCAGCGTTGCCATTGAAAATGTATATTGTTGATGTATCATTTTTCTTTGCTACTTATTCATTTTAAAACGAAAACAATACCTCAAAATATTCACAGGACAAAGTCAAGCAGTTGGAGTGCGAGCGGAAGAGCAAGTTCTCCGGCGGAAACGCATACGATCGGGCCGAGAAGTCCAATTCCTATTATGGTGGAGCGGCTGATTCCGGGGAGTTTGATTCCAATCGTTACGATGGGGGCGCAGGCAACGCTGGCCCTGGAGGTGGCGGCTCCTTCAATTGTGGATTGGATCACAGTGTGATCGAGCAGGAGACGCGTGATCTGCGACTCAAGGTGCGCCGCCTGGAAACGCTGCTGGCGGAGAAAGAGTCCGAGTTGGCGCGATGCAAGGCGCGGATGCACGACAGCGCCAAGTGCCATGATGGCATGGACGGGGATCGCTATCGCAGTGCCCAGATGCACGCCGAGAAGCTACTTGACGCTAGGGAACAGTCCCACCGCCAGCAGGTTTTGCGCCTAGAGAACCAGGTGGGTACTTTTAAACATTTCTAAGATAATCCAAGGTAATGGGCTATACCTATTTGACAGATCTCCATGTTGCGCGAGCAGTTGGCCCAAGAGGCTAAGCGACGGCAACAGTATATTTTACGCAGCTCAAAGGCCAATCGGGAGATGCAGCACCTGAGGAGCACACTGGGAGACTCCCTACGCAACGTGTCTCAGCACCCGGTGGATGCCCACCTCCTGGAAAGCGAAAGTAGACGGTGAGTCTGTGACCTCATTTATTAAAAAAATGATAACTTACACCATACTTTTTTTTACAGTCTCGATTCGGCCGTTTCTATGAGTTTGCCGCCGTCAACCTGTCGGGACTATGATCGCGATTAGTGCGATGTAAAGAAATTTGGATAAACTGTATCCCGCCAAGAAGACGAAACGCTCACTGCCACTTGCATTTATTTAGAAAAGGCTTCCTGGACTGCTCCAGTCGCAACTGAGTTAATCATCGCATGCATTTCAACTCGTTTGCCTTAGTACAATTCTAGCTGTTCATTGTCTGCCCTGATAGACAATCGAATATAGTGCGTTCCATCCAGTCGCATTCGGGCATCCGGTAGCGATGATGCCATCCTTTCATCTCCACACAAATAACTATGCATTAAAGGGTCACGAGTTCCGATTCTCCCTGAGCGAGGGAGAACACCGAACTATATATCACACGACAATTTACATCATTTGCATTTACATATTGGCCAGAACACCGAACTAGTCAGCACGAAATCAAGCAACTATATTTAATCCTTAGCATATCTATCCTATATACAGTGCGGTTCATCGACTGCATATTTTATAAAGTATATATATACAAAAGAAACACACTTCTAATGAACACAACTATCTGAACTGAGCTATTATTTTTTGGAGGGTTTTAGCAGCTTCTCAAGGCATTGTACTACCAATTTCATATTGGCTTTTTGGGCCGAAAGCTTGGCCACTTCGCCTACGATGGCGAACAAAGCCTTGGACTTGCCCTTTTGGTACTGTTGAACTGCCTTTGACTGGTTGGCAATGGCTTGCTGGCAAAGGTTCTCGATCTTCTCTGGACTGCAAATTTGCTGAAGGTTGTGCAGCTCAATGAGCTGGGATGGAAAATTTAAATAAACATTTAAGCTCAACATGTTTAATGGATTTAAGGGACTAACCTCGTTGACTTTGATTTTGGGGTTGTTGTGCAGCAATTCAATAAGCTGTCGCGCAGCCTGGAGATTAATCTGCTCGCTGTTCAGGTATTTTAATATATCTTTCAAATCGTCAGCACTTATGGAGCTAATTTAAAGTGAAATATGCATATATTAAATAACGGTTTAACATTGATTTGTCCTGGTACCTTACCATTTCTCCACATCCAAGTTCACCTTGTTGCAGTATGTCAGCAAATCGTTAATAAGGAAATTGTAAATGACTTTGTTGGGCAATTCGTTTAAACTGCGGCTTATGTTCAGAAAATGATCTAAAAGAATGGGCTCATTCTAGAATAAAATAACGGATAAATTAATGCGTTCAGAAACAAAGATTCTAGCACCAACCACTAAAATGATGGCAGTTTCCGCATTAAGGTTGTACTGCTCAAGCAGACGTTGCCTTGTGTCCTCTGGTAATTCTGGAATTTCCTCGCTCAGAGCTGCCACAGAAAGCAAATCCTCACTTGACTTTGATCCCGGTTTAAGGTTTACATGAAGAGGTGGCAGATTTGGCTCTGGCATGAATCTGTAATCCTGCAGGACTTCCTTGTCACGCATGGCCACTGTTCGCCTATTTTCGGCATCCCAGTTTCTTGTCTCATTTGTGATTACACCGCCGTTAGCCACAGTTTCGAGCTGCCGATTTATTTCATAAGTAATGGCCTGCGAAATGCTGCGAACCGAGCCAATGTTTTTAACTTCGGTGCGAACGCCCAAGGGATCGCCTTCCTGGTGAATGGATATATTTGCATCTACACGCAGTGCCCCCTCTGTAAGCAAAGGTAAATGCCTTACAAGCCAACTAGTAAAATCTTAATTTACCCTCCATTTTGCAGCTGCAAGTTTGGAGACGCCTTAGTATCAACATGAGTTCCTTGACTAGTGAGGCTGCTTCTTCACCCGTCTCCAAATCTGGAGCAAATACGAGCTCCATGAGGGGCAACCCGGCGCGATTGAGATCAACCAGGCTTCTTTTGAGATAATCATCGTGCAGGGATTTACCACTGTCCTGCTCCAATTGTAGCTGGAGTAGTGTAACCGTCTTGTAGTAAACTTTTTTGCCTGGCGTTATTACTGGGAAGGTCATTTTTCCATCATTGGCCAGGGCAGCTCGTTGCTGGGTGATTTGGTATCCATTCTATGTATGGGAAGAGTATTTTTAAGCAGTTTGATATGGCTAGAAGTTGTAGTTACTGGCAAATCCGCATAAAAGTAATGCTTGCGATCAAACATAGACACCTCATTCACCCGACAGCCAAGAGCCAGTGATGTCTTGATGCCGGATTCCACACACTTTCTGTTGAGCACCTGAAAACAGGTAATAAATGTAATAAGGATACTTTATTTATATGTTTCTATACTGACTGGCAAAGTGCCCGGTATTGAGGCATCGAAATAAGCCACCGACGAGTTAAGGGGTGCTCCAAAGGATGTACCACCTCCGGAAAAAAGTTTGGATGCACTGGCGATCTGTGCATGGACCTCCAAACCCACAACGCTCTTCCATTTTCTGAAAAACTAAGATTTAAAATAAATCCTACAGTATTATTCCACCTTCTTACCTCTTCGGAACGTTGGCCAACTTGGGTTGCGTAGCAAGCCGTCGGATTATTGTAATAATGCATTGTGTTATTCTAATTCTGTAATGATTATAACGTATCCGCACAAGAATCTGCGAAAAGTTGCGCCAAAACAGCTGATGTTGTTTTGATTGCAGCCAAAGCTGCCAGACTGTCGACCGCTGGGTTGCCAGACAAAACCATCGATTGGCTGGCGATAACAGCAAAAGAGAAATATCACAAAAAAAAACCTTTTCATTTTCAAGACAAACATGTAAAAAAATATGAGTTTGGCAGAGGTAAGCATAGTATTTGATGCACCGCAACAGTCACAATTGTGTGCAGAATCGAAATCAGCAGTACTTTAATGCCAACGCTTGTTCTCCAGTTGATAGTGACCAAGACAAGAAAAAGCACACGCAGCTCTGCAAAAGACAACCACGACGACGAGTGAGTGGAGTAGAAAAGGACCAGGAGTGGAGTAGTGGAGTAGGAGCAGGAGCAGTAGACCGAGGGCGGGCGGAAAAATCAATCGCAGCGACAGGGAGCCAAGAAACCCGCCACCATGGTGATAGAGAAGATCATCGGCGACCTGGAGTCAAACATGACGCTGGAGAATGAGGAGGCCAAGCGGAAACTGGTGGAGCTGCTGACCCAGAGTGAGTCATGTCCAGATCGGCCCTAGATGCTTACTTTCCAATCATCTATTTCACTCCACAGACAAGGAGCAGTGGTTGGTGCAATTCATGCTGGACTACTTCTTTAAAACCGGATCTCAGCGCATCCTGGAGGTACTGGTCAAGGCTCAGGCGCCGCACGATGGCTACATTTTCGACCGGCTAGACGATTGCCTAAAGCAAGCTCAGCACCGGGTGCAAAGCCTCCAGGTATTCTGCTTCATAGTGCGTCACCACCCCACTTGGCTGTACAAGATCGAAAAACACCGGCTGATCAAGAGCGTTTTCAAGCTGTTGACGGTGAGTTCGGGGAGTAATTTCAATTCCTGTCCAGATTCAGAATGGCTTTCTTTCCCTCTTGCAGCACGAGAAGGAGATAGTGCCGCTTATGAGCGCTCTGTTGTGCATCATCACCCTACTACCGATCATCCCGAATTCCGTGCCCAACTTCCTCAACGACCTGTTCGAGGTATTTGGGCATTTGGCCTCGTGGAAGCTGCAGAACAAAAATATGCCGGACGAGAAGCTCGTTCACCTACAGTTGGGGCTGCAGATGCTGTTTCACCGCTTGTATGGCATGTATCCGTGCAGCTTCATGGCCTATTTAGGGGAGTTCATCAAGCGGGGCAACGGCGGCGGTATCTTTCAGCACACGATCAAGCCGCTGTTGGACACGGTGCGAGTGCATCCCATGCTGCTGACGGCCACGCCAGAGACGGAGGTGAACAACACGCGCTGGAAGGAGATGGAGCCGCATGACGTAGTCATGGAGTGCGCCAACCTCTCGCTGCCTGTCCTTTTGCCCGAGGCAAGCAACGAAGACGGCAGCTATGCGTATCCCATAACCCCGGGCTACAGCCGCATGACGTCGAACACCTCAAATACAGACTACAGCTATCAACTGAGGGAGTTCCAACATTCAAAGAACGTCTACGCTCGCTTCGATTTATCTGCTTCGGGTGGAGATCTGGGACCGATCTGGAGTCCGCACAATGAGATCACGACAGCTAGTAGCGCCATACCTCTGACGCCCACCACATCGTTTATTTTGCCACTTCAGCCGACGATGAATTCGCAGCTAATGGTGGGCATGACGGGCTCCTCGCCGCCCGAAGCTGCTGTGGAGGCCACCCCGGAAACAACACCCCTTAAGGATGTCAGGGAGATCAAGCAGCCAGGTCGAGCTGTTAACTCTCATGCGGCGAGAGCTATCTTTACCACGAGCCAGCCCTCTTCGCCCATGCGCAAGGACCAGCAAAGTCTGTTCAGTTTTCCGGATGTGAGTCGAGAGGCCGCGGAGGGAAGTACCACATTTCTGGAAGTCACCAGCTTTACCTCTTTTGATCGACGCCTGCAAAAAGTCATCCAAGATAGGCACAACGTAGAGCGATTTGTTAACACATCCCATCCCAGCAGCCTGCCGGAAATTAACTCGGATTTATCCCTCGTTGGAGCTTCCGCCTATTCTGCTGCCACTCAGGAGGACGCTGCCGTATGCGGCGAGTGCAACGAGACTGACGGCAACCGGTGCAGCGTGGGAGGGCTACACATGCCCACCAGCCGATCCATGCACCAGTTGGCCAAGAGGCGCCGCAACCGCATGGCCAGCTACAGTGGCAATGATACCTGTGCGGACAGCAGAAGTTCGGCAGCCAAGAAGGCCAGTTGGAGTGCGGAGGCAGAGAACCCAATGCGGCGGACTAAATCCTGCTCAGCCCTTGCCGGATTGCAACAGCAGCATCTGGAGGAGAACGATGACGAGGCCGATTGTTCTGGTCAGAGACAGAAAACGGAGAATGGAACTACGCAAAAGACTGGGAGCCGCCTGCAGAGGAGCGGCCGAATCCTGGCCATGTCGGCGCCCAAGGAGCCGGCTAGAAGCTACGCCCACGCCTTCACCCAGACGGTGGAAGGAGTGGATAGTGCTCCGCCGCAGTACGAGAATTGGCTGATTGAACTTCTGCTCGAGTGCAAGGAGCAGCGGAATAACTATGAGAGAAGCCTTCTCTATCCGCAGGATATCCTGGACGAGTACATCAAGCATGCGATCAAGGCCAATGAGACCTTTGATGCCGAACAAGGTCAGCTAATGTGCCTGCAGCTAGAGTACGAGAGCTACCGGCGCTCCATTCACGCTGAGCGCAATCGGCGACTCATGGGTCGGAGTAGAGACAAGCGCAGCCTAGAAATGGAGCGGGATCGACTTAGGGAGCAGCTTAAGAACTTCGATACGAAGAACAAGGATCTGGCCAGTAAGATGGATAATGCCATGCGGATAGCCAACGAGCGCCAGAAAACCCACCAGGAGGAGCTAAGCGAGATGAGGTCGAAGTACCAACATGAGCTGGAGGAGAAGAAGTGCCTGCGAGAGGCCAATGATGACCTGCAGACGCGCCTCACAAGTGAGGTGGCGCGCCACAAGGAGATGAACTACGAACTGGAGTCGCTGCGAGGACAGGTTTTCAGTCTGGGCACCGAATTACAGCACACCCAGCACCAGGCCGACTTGGGGCAGCAGTGCAAACAGGAGTTGGCGCGCTTGGAGGCCGAGTTCATCATTATGGGCGAGGTGCAGGTGCGTTGCCGCGACCGTCTGGCCGAGATCGATAATTTCAGGGCCCGTGACGAGGAACTGCAGATGCTGCAAGAAAGCAGCCAGCTAGAACTGAAGGGTGCGTATTTGTTGTGGTTTTATTATACGAATGTTTACTCATTCCGTTTTTATTTATTTAGAGCTGAGGCACAGCCTGGACGAAAAGACATCACAGCTGGAGAGCATGAAGCACAAGATCAGCGACTTGCAGGCCCAGCTTTCCAACAGCGAGAAGGCCATGACGGAGCAAAAGCGACTCCTCAGCACGGTCAAAGATGAGTATGAGGAAAAGTTCAAGGTGGGTTTATTTATTTTCTGCTTTAGCAATTCTGGCAAAAATAATGTAATACACTTATTAACTAAGTTTGACTACTATTTATCAAAAAGATAAAGCTAAGGTCCGGTTCGTCAAACTTAAAATTCCAATTAAAGCTATGCTGTATTTTGAGGAATGTTTTATTTATCATTCAAAGCTAATTAACTTTGTATACTTGCAGTCGGTGAACAAAAAATACGAAGTGCAGAAGAAGATTATCATGCAGATGGAAGAAAAGCTAATGATGATGATGATGCAGCCGCAGGGAATAGCAGGTCACAACACCTGCTCTCCGGACACGGACAGAACTGGTGAGTGCGGCCGCTCCCCCTGAGTTATGGAGCCCTTCTTAATGGTTCCTCCCACAGACATTGCCTCATCCATTGAGCGCAACTCCCCGCTGTCCACCTCGCTGGCATCCAGCGAGAGCCTGTCGGCCAGCCTGCGCTCCACGGAGCTAAAGAACCTGCAACAACTGGTGGACACGCCCTCGATACCGGAGGTGCTGAGCAGCTTAGCCGCTGGCGCCCAGTTTGAAGACGGGGTGCGTTTGCCTGCCGTGGATCTAGCCTCATCGGCCAGCACCGCCAGTGCCATTAACATCGTGCCGCACGCCTTGGACCTGCCGTCGACCTCCGGCGGCATTGGTCACACGCTCACCCACCCACATCCGCATCCGCATCTCCACTTGCAGCAGCAGCAACACGATCAGATGCAGCTGGAGCAGCAGGCGCTGTTTGTAAAAAAGAACTAGCTTTCCTTCACTAAAGAATTGTGAATTGGGAAATCCCACACAGGAAATATACAAAAAAAAAGTTATTGGTTCTTCATATTTTCATATTCAGTTTAAAACTGTAACTAAGGTTTAATAAATCGCTGACTCCACGCAATAATTATAAAAGTTATACAAAATATTAATGTTTGAAATTTTAACTTGTTTAGCACATTGCAATTTGTTGTAAAAAAAAAATGGTTTTGATACGAGGCAATAAGTAAGGCGCGCATTCATATTATAATAAACATTTAATTAAGATCGGCAAGTAAAAAAATTTGTTTTATTTAAACTAGTTGAAAAAAATAACTGTAGTTATATAACAAGCGCCAAAACATTTAAATTATAGCAAAATAGCCAAAACAAACTGAGAGGCATTGCCAGCTGAAAAATGCAGGACGGAGTGGCAACGCCAAAAAACAACAGCTGTGCGGAAGCAACAATAATAATAGAAAGAAGAAGCAAGAAAAAAACGCCTACAAATCAGATCATCAAGAAGTATTAATCATTATAATGCTGTCCCAATACATGGAAGAGTTTGAACAGGTGGGTCCTGGGGTTATTGAACTTATATTCAGGTGCTAAACCTATAACCCATTAACAACAGGAGCCATTTGAGGTGGGCGAGTTCATAGAACGTCTCACCTGGCGCACCAATAATGAGCTTCAAAACAGCGAGGACTTTCATCCTGTGGCCCTGCACGACACCTTCATCCAGACTATCAAGGACCTCAAGATCCTGCAGGAGAAGCAGCAGAGCAAATGCGAACGCCTTGAGGAGTCGCTGCGACAGGAGAAGGAGTCTCACGCCAAAAAGATCGCCAAACTGCAGGAACGCCACCAGACGGCTATCGATGTGTTTGGCCAGCTGGACGAGAAGATAAACTCGGTGGCCGGGAAGATCATGCATCTGGGAGAGCAACTGGAAAACGTAAACACTCCGCGTAGTCGGTCCGTGGAGGCCCAAAAGCTGCTCAACTTCATGGCTGAGTTTCTGGCCGCCGGGCCCGTGATTGTCAACGATATTTTCGCGGATGCCGCTCGATTAAGTGAGGCCGCCGATGTGATCCAGAAACTATATGCAATCTCGCAGGATCTACCGCCCGGGAACTTCGCCGAGTCCAAGCGGAAAATCGAAAAAAAATACGACGAAGTCGAACGGCGGCTGATAGAAGAGTTTGCCACCGCCCAGAAAAGCGAAGATATCGAGCGCATGAAGACATTAGCCCAAATCCTCTCCCAGTTCAAGGGCTACACTCAGTGTGTGGACGCGTATATCGAGCAGAGCCAAATGCAGCCGTACAGCGGCAAAGACATTTTCATAGGCATTGTGCCGTTGTGCAAGCACCACTACGAGATCATCCAAAAGGTGTTTGCCAATCCGCAACAGGTCATGTCCAAGTTCATACTCAACATCTACCAGCTGAAGCTGCATCAGTACGCAATGACCAAGCTGGAAGACAAAAAGGACGAGGAGAAATATTTGCGGACCTTATACGAATTATACTCACGGTCAGTTCATACCAATAATTATAATATAATATAATTTAATTTTTCATATAATTATGTTTATTTATTTCTCTCTTCAGCACACTGAAGCTGTCTACTGATCTGCAAGTCTACATGTCCACCATCGACGACGACTTGCTTCATAAGTTGACGCAGCAGATCTTCATGAAGCATCTGGCGGGATATGCCGAAATGGAGAGCAAGTGCCTTACAGCGAAATGTTCCACGGAACTGGAGAAGTTCTATGCCAGCAAGAAGCACCAAAAGACTGCGACCACCAAGGGCTTTCGACGCAATATGGAAGTGCTGATAGCCACGCGAGCCAACATAAACATTGCCGCCATCGAGGACTATGGCGGGGAGACCTTCTTATCCGAGGAACTGGCTATCAACATGTTGCAGGAGGCAAAGGCCTCGCTCAAGCGTTGCCGTCTTCTGTCAAACGAGGCAGAGCTACCAGGCAATGCCATCAAGCTCAACGATATCCTGCTGCGTTTCCTGATGCACGAGCACGTGGACTACGCACTTGAATTGGGTTTACAGGCAGTACCGCTGGCCGAGGGCCGAGTGTTTCCCCAGCTATACTTTTTCGATGTTGTGCAAAAGACGAACATCATCGTCCACCTGTTGGACAAACTGTGCCACACATCGGTAATACCCTGTGTGAGGTAACTTTAGATGTACATTGTTAAATTAAATTCATCATTTGTGGACACTCCATTTCAGTAATACTCCAAAATACTCGGACTACGTATTTAAGAAGCGTATTCTGATGGAGCAGATCGAGACAAAGCTAGATCAGGGTTTGGACCGCTCCATCAGCGCTGTCATTGGCTGGGTCAAGGTCTATTTGCAGTATGAACAAAAGAAAACCGATTATAAACCGGAGACTGATGTGGATACAATTTCCTCTGCGGTAAGATATTTTTGTTTAATGAAAGATGTTCATATCAAAGACAGTACATTTGTTTCTCGCTAGGCCTGCCTGCAAGTTGTGCAGAATCTACAACCTGTGATTGTGCAAATTAAAAAGTGTGTTGATGGAGAGAATCTGCAGAATGTTCTTACGGAATTCGGAACTCGTCTGCACAGGGTCATCTATGATCACTTACAGACTATGCAATTCAACACGGCTGGAGCTATGTGCGCCATTTGCGATGTCAACGAGTATCGCAAGTGCATTCGAGAGCTGGATAGTACCCTAGTGACGCAGCTCTTTGACATTCTCCATGCATTGTGCAATCTATTACTTGTTAAGCCGCAAAACCTCCAAGAGGTTTGCACGGGCGACACTTTGGTAAGTGTGCGGTGTCTTTGATTTTGACTGCCAGTCTTACGTTGCCATCTTTATCCACCCCCACCATACTTTAGAACTATCTGGACAAGTCCGTTGTGCGACAATTCATTCAGCTACGCACTGATTTCCGAATCATCAAGAACACCAATTATCTAAAGGGTATTATCGAGTAAGGAGTTGAGCAGCCCGAATGAGTCACATTCCGAAATTTTCCACATCGCAAGTTGCTGTCTGTGGATTAAATTGATATATTGAAGGGGACATTATCTAATAATTAATTATGGTTCGCTATGTTCTTTAACTTTCAATTAAAGTCAAGTGGCTGGTTACTTTTATCTACACATCAGAGGTACTTGATTTATTTACTATATTTATAGGCGCTACTCAAACGCGTGCCCGCCACCCAACCACCCACTCCCAGACCCATACAAGCCCCCACGACGTCACGGACGACCCCCTTACCAAATCTTCAAAGTGAATTGTTGGCGTTATCAGTCAGAGCAGGAGCAGAAAGTCAGTGTTATTTGCTCCAATCGGCTCCCAGTCAATAAATCAAAGTTTATTGCTTAGGCGACCGCGAAGTATTTATTTATTTACGTTTCTACAGAGAGGACAAGAACTCTCTCACTGCAGAGCCGCCAGGTTATATGGTCGGCTACTTTTGGTTGGGACCCACTATTCTTGGTGTCAGTCACCTATTAGCCACCAAGCAAATCGTATCGCCAAAAGAAACACTGCCCGCTCGTGATCCTCATTATCGATCGCCTTTTGTTATTGTTTTTGTCAATTTAAAGCTGTTTGCACACTTACGCGAATCGGGTTTGTCCGATATTCTAATCAAATCGCGAATCTAAATCTTAAAGAGTTGATTATCATCATGCGCGGTGCGTACATGGATTACTACCTTAAAATATTCTTGGTTATTTGCGCTGTCCATCAAATAACAAGTGGAGTGATCAAGTCCACCACAGACGCCGCCTACAAAAAATATCTTTCCCTAAGATCTCTGCCATTCGAAGATTGCGGTGAGTATATCTCAGAATCTGTGCTTTTCGGTGGTCGATATGGAAAACACTTCAAATTACAATGAAAATGTAATATTCGAAATGTAAAATATACATGCTTTAGAATATTATTTCCAAACAAAAATCTCGTAAGATCTCTTTATAATGCATACATCACATTTATGTTTTTTTATTCAAACTAAAAAAATACTTACTTAGTTTCTATATTTTCATGATCGTCTCCTCACCCGACCATCTTCGATAAAAGAGATCAACCCAATTTCCATGAATTAAAATTTTCTAGCGTCATCGACTAGTAAGTATATTGATTCGACTATCAGGACCATTGTAAATACCATAAGGCTAATCACACCTAATTTTAACTGCTGCTTCCGCAAACACATTAGAGTCTTTAAATAAAATACAACTGTCATTATAAAAGGTATTTCCCCGATTATGCCTCATAAATTGTTAATGCCTTAATGGAAAATATCGTTGATATGTCACCTATAATTATGATATATTACAATAATTTATCAATCGAAAAATAGTATCAGTAGGAAATACCAGTAATTAAATGACATCAACCAAATTTATGTGTATTCATTATAAATTATTTCAAATTATGGCATGCTTTATATAATTTATTCCATTGACTCAGACTCTTATCAAGTATATCACAAAACCTAATTTACGGCCAATAAAACAAGAGTATTAAACTATTTCGAAGCCATTTAAAAACATATTTTTAACCTTTTCCAATTAAGTGCTTTAGTTTATTTCAAACTTCTTCATTTCGGTTAGTTTCCCAGAGTACAAGCTATTTATTTGTATTCCGGTTTTTACGATTTTTGATTAAACGAAGTAAAGGAGTGGGCAAATCAATGATTTACGCTATAGATTAAAACAATTATATGAGACACTGATAGACAGGTAAACAACCCTCGAGAGGATAGTAATCAAATAAAGAACTTAATTACCAGAATAGTGAAATCTACTACGGCTAATTTTAAACACAGAAACTGTTTGAAGTCCTTGAGAATTGCACTTTGTCATAAATTATAAAATATGGGAGTACGAGTATATAGGAATGTGTCTGTGTCGCAGATAACTCGACTTAGTTGCTGGGAAAGCTTTTTATTAAAGATAGATTCCTTTATTGTTGTCAGGTAGTAGGGCCATGTTTAATGTCACGTAACCAATGATTTCAATCTAACTTGGAAACATCAAAAACACAACATTTCAGTTTACCCCATTAACTTACTTAACTACTTATACGAAAAAAAGTTTAAGCAAATCATAAATTATCAAACCATTTTGTTAATTAAAAAAATATACAACATATATTTATTCTATCCACTACATACATTATCTTTAACCCTAGACTAACATTTATATATTTTCTACGATTATTACAGGCTCATTGTACCAGGTCAGCTACCTGGACATCGAGAGCTGTACGACACTACCTTGCTCCATGGCCCGAAACGCGACCATTAAGGTTACCGTTCGCTTCGATGATAATGGTAAATACACAAGTATTATCAAAGCACTGATAACACAAGATCCGTGCTTTCGCATTTCCCCAGAGAAAGGGACCCATTCATCGCTTTCTGGGCAAAAGTCACTCAAAATCAAAAATAGAACTAGTGCGGGCGAACAATTTCTATCAGGTGGATGGCGGATGTTTGACAGGGTAGGAGTATAGAGCCCGCAGAGTATTCGGTTTCTGCGTGATCAAATGATGGTGGCAATAATGATTAAACTCTGCCGTAAATATAATTGATCAAAGATTGTAAGTCTACGAAATTTCACGAAATTTGCTGCTGCTACTACTGTTTACTCCGATGCAGTCATTGAGATATTGACATCGATTGCAGCCCGGGGCCCAGCCCCATAAATAAAATAATGAATGTTTAATGATATTTTGATGAGTCAGCATAAAAGGAGTCGAAATCGAAACAATTGATCTCAGCTCGAATTGAACATTTATGGCACCCTATAGGGGGCTGTAGCAAAGACTGGCCAAAAATTAAGATTAAAGAGAGCATGCAAAACAGATTCATTTAATTGAAGTGGAGTTCAGATTTTGATAAACAAATTTACACTTGGGATCATTAAAATAGTACACATAAATCAACTATAATTTTGTTTAATATGCGTTATCTTTAATAATTTATTGTTAAACCTGTACTTTTATTTATTTTTGTTTTGTCAATTTTTAAAAAATCGTTTCATTATAATCAATTTTGGATCTCTCCCCCTTTTTAAAACTGACTAATAATTTGCATTTATAGGCAACGGGGTGTCCTTTTTAAAGCACGAAGTCCGATGGGTGTTCAACTACATCAAGACTCAGGCGGCCATAACTCCCGATCCGTGCGACGGGGATCATGGTTGTATAATGAGTGCGACTGATGGAAAAGCCTACTGGGCCAACGTATTTGTGAATAACACTCTTCCGGTGGTAAGTTAGATTCATGATTATATTTTGTTCATAAACAATATATGTATGTTTATTTTCCATTAAGCAAATTTAAGAAAACATACCTTTTTCTCTCTGTGTTGCAGATGAAAGGGAGCATGCTGTGGGAATCCAAGGATGCGAACGATCAGAACCTAATATGTTTCCAGGTTCCCGTTGTAATCACAGTGTAAATGTGTAATCACGAAAATAAAGTAATTGGTGCATGCAAATCAACAGACCAGTGTGTGGGTGTGCGTGCGTGTGTGCATCCTTTAATGAAATTTTGAATGAAAACAAGGGAGGCGCGGCATCTTACGAGTAGTAGTAGAAAGGGAGAAAGAGTGAAATGCAGAGGTGGGATCTCTGTTTTGGCACACACACTGACTGAGGAGAGATGCTGAGAGGTGCGAGAACAAGTGGAGCACTGCACAGTGGTAGTAACCCAACAAAACACACATTAAAATTAGTTTCTTGAACATTAAACAACGTCCTCTTTATTTATACTTGTAAAATAAAAATTATCAAAATATTTTGAAAAATACAACAGAATTAGTTTTATTATAAAATAAAGAATGCCAGAAGGTATCGCATTTTCTGGTTAATAAAAAAATAATAACAAAAGGATTTCAGATATATACAAACTATGTTTTGTTTTGGAATTTAATGAAATGTGCCAAAATATATTTAAAAGACAAATAAATAAGCCCACTTGACGTTGCACCTTGCCCACTGTGCGCGAGAGAGCGTCCGGAGAACGGTAGAATTGGAGCCCGAGCCCTGCAGGCCGTGGCCGTTCAGTGTGTCATTCTCTCTTGGCGGCTGCAGCGCAACGGTCGCACGAAAAGAGCTCCCCCTTGAGATTCACATTCAGATTCGGTTTCGGTTTGGTTTGGTTTTCGGATCGAGCTCCAAGTTCCCAGTTCCCAGGAGCGGAAATCGGAACAGTGCGGCGAATTAAATAATAAAGTGGCAGCAGGCGATCAAAGAAGGCGCTCCGGCTGCGTAGGTGTACTTGCTCGCAGATCGCTAAACGCAAAACGTAGAAAGCGAAGTGGAGCCAGTGCATCCGAAAGTGTTTCCCCGAAAGTGTTTCCATTATTGTGAGTACCTAAAAATGTTTTGCACTGCTCGCCATTTGTGCAATTCCGTCGGCGTGAATAAGATTGCCTTCGCGCTAATTGCGGATGAGTAAGGATGGTGGTGGCGGTTTCGGGGGGCCAAAGGGGTTGGATCCCATCGAATGGTGCACGGGTGACATGTGGTCACACGGTAAAGCTCTTTTAGACGAACTTCAGGTGCCGGCGTTTTTACCCGCAATTTAAGCACTGACAAAAAAAAGAAAAAAACGATATAGATTATCCTTGAAATTCGTTTCAAAACTAAAGATGTTTTTTAAAAAACTTCGCTGTATCTCCCCAAATAAAGTATATTTTCCTATTAAAACAACTGTCACAATTGTTTTTGCAATCGATCTAACTTATAGACTTCTGGTATTTATTCTTTTCATCCTGATTACAGTACCCTACAAATTAAATTGACTCTTGTTTTCTAATAAATTTATAAATCATTTTTAATAATGTTAGAAAATCAATCTGCAATCCAACTGGGGGTTTTAATAAATAAATGAATACATCTCACAATGTACCATAATCGGAAGTACAAGTATGACATATCGAATCGCTGAACCTTGAGCACGGCTTCGGGTTCAGAACCTGACGTAGAACCCGACACCGCCATGAACAAACATCCTACTCCGTTTCGCTCCGGTTGAGCTTGAGCTTGCGCACATGCCCAGCTAGGTACTTGAACCCCTTAAATGGGCTTCCAATGGGGCTGCTTGGATTTCCTCGCGGGCTTAAATGGCACAATGTGATCCGGGAATACCGCACTTGACAACAAAGGGCATGATACCAAGTTTCCAGCATTAAATAGCTAGGTCATCTCAAATAATCAATATGGAAGTATGTCGTTAAATAGAAAATGTTATCTCGAATTGTATTTCTCCAGTTTCTAAGAATTTTCAAAGTATTTTAAACTTAAAAGTTATATTATTAAATTGTTTAGCCAAAAACAAGTTTTTCAATTTATCGGTGATGAATTATTTAGGGTATAAATTTGCATGCATTCAGAACGTTGTCTTCTGACTCATAATGATATGGGATCACACTTTATTTTCATGATATTTGAGAAGTTTTTCTTCACGATTTCATAAAATCCATAATAATAGTAAACAATCAGTTGATATTTACATTAGGGATAACTGTGATTCAGCCATGATTGTTGAAAATATGGAGCTCCTCTGACCAGTCACACCATCGAAATTCTTAATTTGATCTTGCCGTTCTGGCCTGGGCCCCAAAATTGATGATTGCTCCCCTCCCCTTTTCTGTGGTGTTTTATTACTTGCCCTCTTTGAGTGCTAACCTTTATTTTTTGTACCACCGATGCACTTCGGCTGAAACAGAGGCAACAATGCGATGACGTTGCTGCTGTTGGTCAAAGTGTTAAACGATTTGCATCATATTACACCCAGTTGCTGCTGCTGCCCTGCCTGGAGGTTGCTGGCCATTGTCGATTGCTATTGTACTAAGCCCCGAACGGAGGAGCACGATTGGGGATGGGGTGGGGTGTATATGGAGACGGAGCTGCAACTGGGGGCAAAACAAAAGCAACACTCCAGCAACAGCAGCAACCACCAACGATTTATCACAGCAACGACGTCAACGAAATCGATCCGGATCTTAGTGCCCCCCATCATCCCCACCCCCATTTCCATCTGCTGCCCTCCTTAACAACTCCCCTGTATGTACACTGACAGGAAATATGAGTCTTCTCCAAATTTGCTCAGGACCAAAACAGTTTTTTTTCACCATTTTTAAAGCTTCAAAAAGAGGTTTACGTTAATATCCATTTACAATTTTTTCTTCTCATTATAATCGCAATAGTTTTGTAAATGACAACTTTACTAAGTCTTCTGTTATCATTACAAATTATTGAAGTAAATTTTAGATTGTTGAATTATTTAACGGCTAAGCAAAAATTTGATGGTAACGTCAAACGATCTTAAAAGGGAAGCAAATAAATATATAACTTTTATTTATGCCATTCAAAAAGTAACGTATATGACAAAAACAACCTTTTTTTAAAAAAATCCTTTTGAAGCGAATATTTTCAGCATTTTCTTCAAGTGCACCGTATGTGTGCTGTGCTATGCTCGCCAAGTGCCTTTTCGCCTTGGTGTGCGTGAAGCATAAAAAGTAATTTTGAATTTTTGAATCGTTAAAAGCAATTAATCGCCTCTACGCAACGGCAGCCAGCCTGGCTGCGACGTCCGCGCTCCTCGACTCGACTGTCTCATCAGCGTCAGCCGCAGAACCCATTCATCTGGAAGAGTCGTGGCCGCGATCCCCATCCTCGTCCTCATTCCCGTTCCCCGATCCCCAAGTCCCACACCCAATCCCCCACCCCAACACAATCCCCGCATTGACGACGCTTTACTGCCCAATTTTGTTGCAAATTTTTCGTTCCGCGGAACTTGGTGCATTTCATCTCGTCTGCTCTTGGTGATCGTCGTCGTCGCCGTCGCCGCTTCATCTTCTTGCGTCGATCGTCGCGCACATTCATTTGTCGCTTAATGTCCCTCAGTTAGGCCGTCCCGGTCCTGCTCCCCCCGCAGCCATCCCAAACTCCTTGCCACCAAATCCATCGCATCTCAGTCCGAATCGCAGTCCCCACAGTTGCGGTCAGCACAAAAGTATCTACCAATTATTTAATACTCATTTATCTTTGGGGAGATTTACAAATAGCTTAAGTCATATTATACTTTGCTTTACTCTTCGGGTCAGAAACGTCTATCTGTCAATATACATATTTGATTTAAAATTAATTAAGAACTATTGATGGTTAGGCCTAAGAAAGCACAAATAAGCATATTAGGTGGAAAATTATGCGAAATTATGTGAAATGTGATGAGTTTAAACAATTAGCAGTCAGGAAAGCCCCCTTTCATTTCCAGTATTACACAAATAACCATTTTAGCAGGAAAAGTTTTGACCACTTTGAAAAGGGGAAACTTGAAGAGCTTTCACAATTAGCAGTCAAAAAAGGCCCTTTGAATACGATTACCCTTGATCAGTTCTAAGGCGCTGACTTCAACTGTGCCGCGCTATGGCATCTCCTAGCAGCCCCACCGCTAACCACCAACCACCGCATCGCTGCACCACTTCTCCACTCGAATGCTCCCAGAGTGTCTGTATCGCCTTGGTATGTGCGGCATCTGCTGGCTAGGCTTCTGATCTGATGAAGCTGCTGCTGGTGGTGCTTCTGCTGCCCCTGCGACTGCGGATGGTGCCCATGGCTATGGATGTGCCTTTGGATGTGACTATGGATGTGGATGTGGTGACATCCACTTGCAGCTCTCGCACATTCGTCGTAGTCGTATTTTTCTCGATTTTGTTTTCGCTGCCTGCACATTCACACGCAGTCGAACGCAACAAAAACCGAAAACAACAACATAAACCGACGACCATCGACCATACCATAAAACATTAGTTTCCCATTTGCGTGCTAAATACCCTACATGGAATCGACGCGAGCACATTGATGGCTATGGCAAACAGGTGAAGAATTTTTAGGAGTCTGTGCCAGACTTCCCAGAATCGAAGATGCAAAATTAAGATGAAAAGAGCTGTCAGTATCTGTAAAGGTGCGAATATTACTACACTTATGTAAAAAAAACTAAACTGGTAAGCTTTCAAGTACTTGTATCGTGCCTAAGACAAAGGTTGATTTTTTTCACTTTAAAGATCTTATTAATTATAGATCTTTCAGCCATCAGGAGGAAATGTCTTTTTTAAGTATACTAAAAACGATTTTAAGGTTTGGTTAAGTTGGGATCTTATAGTTTTAAAGTAAGGGTAAACAGTATAACCATATATACTTTCACCCAGTAAGATGTACCCGCCCAAATTGTGGAGTGCAGGGCAACTAGGAGTCATCTTAGAGCTCAGATCGCTGGCATCGTCTGGCCGTCCGTCCGATGCTCTCGTGGCACGCACACGCACTATGATGCGCGCTTTGAAGTCCTGTCAAGCACTTGAGATACATTTATGTATTTTTTGCATTTTCATTGCCTTGACTTCGGGGCCGGGCGGCATATATGCGAGGAATGATTAGTTAGTTGGTCATGCAAAATGGGTGAAACCGGTTCTCGAGATCGAAGAGCAGCAGAGCGGGTGATCCTTCATCATAATCAGCGTGCTGCTGCTGATGATCGGCACAAATTACGAACGCACGGAATGTCCAGAAACAGAGAGCTGATCACCTGACGCATGATCATTTGCAGATTGCAATCACCGAGGATCGGATCGGTTCGAATGGGCAGCATGCAAGTGGCGCTGCTGGCGCTGATCGTTCTCGGCCAGCTATCCTTCGGCGTCGTGGCCAATGGTTCCTCCATCTCCTCCTCCACATCCTTCTCCAATCAACTGCAGCGTCAGAAGTTGGCGCACTGGTTCCGGGACAGTAACGACGTCAAGGATAAGATTTTGGAGCTGCAGTGCTTGGCTAAGTGTGGCAGCAATCCCTCGACGAAAGCTCAGCGGGAGCAGTGCCTGGACAAGTGCATCCATGAGCTGTTGTTGGGACCCAGAGCCGGCAGTTGTCCCAAAATTGGAAGACAGTTGCGCGCTCGGCTTTCCTGCCTGGACAACTGCCAATACGATCACGAGTGCCCCGAGGTGCAGAAGTGTTGTCCCTCCAGCTGCGGACCCATGTGCGTGGAACCTCTGGGCGTGAGGAACAACACGCAGCTGCCTCCTATACCAAAGATCCTGTACTATAGGAGGTCACGGGGTCATGGGGTCGATCTGAAGATCGAATCCTCGCTTCTGGTCTACTACTTCCACGTGGAGGTCCGCTCGCACATTGGACGACACTTTGCACCCAGGAAGTTTGGGCCCTGGCAGTGGCAGAAGGTGGAGAAGACCATGGAGGAGAACATCGGACACAGCAAGCAGTAGGTTGAACTCGGCCTTAATCTCGAATATTTACTTCAGCAGTGTTTTTCTTTTCCGCAGCACTTATATCTTCTTTCATATGCGACCAGGGCGATGGTACCAGGTGAGGGTGGCTGCCGTAAACGCTTACGGGTTCCGGGGATATTCAGAGCCCAGCGATCCATTTCCCTCAACGGGCAGTAAGTAACTTAACACTAAAAACATACGATTAAAATGTAAGACAAGTACGTTCGAAAAATCTTGGAACTTCATTATCTATTTCTATGAAACTCTATCTCTAAAACTTATTTAAAAGACGTTCAGTATTTTAAAAAGATTAGGGGAATGCTATACTAATAAGTAAAAAAAACCATAATTTCAATTTAATCTGAGACCATCTAACATCCGTAAAAAAACAATAAAGTATATTGGTGTTTTTAATATTAAAGGTTTTTAGTTATTGAGTTTAAATTAAGGATTCGAAAGCTTTCATTTAAACTCAGAAATATTATTATTAGCTAGTCTTACCAACCAAATTTTGTGCTACATTATACCCCTTAGATCCCAAGCCACCGAAGGCTCCCAACGATTCAAAGATCATCGCTAAGCAGTTCGATGGACACTACATGAACGTGAAACTGGTGTGGTGTCCCTCCAAATCCAATTTACCCGTCGAGAAATACAAGATCAGTTGGTCCTTGTACGTAAACAGTGCGGAGGCCTCGATGATCACCCTGGACACCTATGTAAAGGATGTAAGTGGCTCCCGCTTTGTGGACCGAGACACCAAATCAATTGGCTTCCGATGCTTTCAGACCCACCAGCTCGAGATCAAGAAATTGCTGCCAAATTCCTCGTACTACATACAGGTGCAGGCCATATCCTACATAGGATCGCGTCGCCTCAAATCTGAAAAATTGTCGATGCTGTTCAACACGACACTGCAGCCCCTGGAGCCAATCACCCCACTCCAGTGCTCGGGGAACGGCAATAGGCGCAGGCACCATCACGTCAGCAGCTCCAGCAGCTCTGAATGGGCCGCGACCCCGTCGCCAGAGGGCCCCAATGAAGTTTCGCTCACTATTTCGAACCGGACAACGGCCGCCACGTATGAAGTGGGTTTCCGGCTGAACCGGAAGTTTGGCATGATTGTGCAGATTCTGGGCTTTCAGCCACACAAGGAGAAGTAATTATTTGTAAACAAGTTGCCAAAATGCAGAAATTTCACGCTTTTACCCCAATTCAATTGCAGAGTCTATGAACTGTGTCCCCAGGAGACGAACTGCGAGCAGCGAGAGTTCCGCGCTATTCGCGCCAAAGTAAGTAATACCCTTGATGATGTTTTGATGGGAGCCACGAGCCACATGTCGGAATACTTCGTGCCGATTGGCCGGACCACCGGGCAAGGGAAAATCAATGGAACATCGTTGACCATGGGGTATTGTTTAACAAGGCGCACTCGTGTTTCCTTCTTTTGACACGGAAGACACGTTTTAACAAAAGTCAGTACGTGGCAACATGACAATCAACATTTTCGAAATTATAATGCATGGAAATGGGTCATGGCATAGGTGTACGCCAAAAATACAAAGATCAAACAAATAATCAAGATCATTACCACCCCTTTAATTGCAGAGGGATCCGTTGGAGTTTAGCAAACTGAAGTACAACACCACCTACGTGCTGAAGGTTCCCCAATCCAGCCCCAATTCGGTGCTGGACGACTCTAGGAACGTCTTCACCTTCACCACGCCCAAGTGCGAAAACTTTCGCAAGAGATTTCCCAAGCTGCAGATCAAGTGCAGTGATTAGCCTTCGGCGGATGGGCTCAACCCGCTGCTGACCATGAGATTACATTAGATTGTACATAATTGTATGTAATACTTAACTTTTACTTATTGTTAGACTAAGTACACACAACAACAAACTGAACCAAATCGCTTTCTACTTGAAGAGGTCCTTGAACTGCTGCAGATCCTGCTGCTGAGTGGTTTTCGCGCTGGCCGTACCCAACATTTTGCAGTCTTCAAGGTGGAAACCGTGCTCCAGGAGCGCTGCTATCAGTCGTGAGGTATAGAGCACTGGTCCACCCACCAAATGTAGGAAATCGTAGTGTTTCTCTCGTCGTGTGCTGAAGAGTATTCGCTTGGAGACAAAGTCTCCGTAGTTGCTGATCCGCCCCACGCAAACGTAGCGTTGCAATGATGGGGCATATACCTCGATCACGGCTCGGAGACTCTCCGCCGGAGTAAGCTGTTTTGCTGGTGCATAAACTATCCGAAATGGTATGTCCAAAGTTTTGTAAAAGTCGATGGCCAGATTTAGGATATGCTCCTGTTCGCATTCCGCTTCGTCGGCCCTTTGAGTGGCCACAAAACTTTGAACTGCATTTGTTTGGGTCGCCGTATAAAGACTGGGAATGGGCCCATTCAGATCCGTTTCCGCACGATTGTAACTCCGACCACAGCAGATATATCGCAGGGGCAAAACGGAAGGATACACACACAGCTTGGTCATGGCGCCCAAGTAGCTCTCGAAGGCGGCTCCTCCAGTTAGGTAGGCTGTATTAATCTTATTTTGCAGATGTTCCTCCTGCACCAGATGATAGTCGGTCAAAGGCGTAGCGTTTGCCTCCAGGAGAACGCAGCGCACGAAGTCAGGGTTGGCGGTTTGGATGAAGTCACCCTGTTTGACGAAATAGCGGGCTAGGGATTGCATGGCATTGACATCGAAGTGAGCTGCCTGGTCCATCATGTAATATCGGTTGTTGTCCACAAAGTGTATAAGATCATGCCGGGACAAGTGGGAGAATGACTCCCTTTCCGATTTGGGCAGGCCGTGGCGGTAGAGGAGCTTTTCCTGTCCGCCAGTGGGACACTGCAAATGCAAGTTGTTAGGTAAGTGCAAGTAGTCGTGTATAAAGTCATCTTCGATGGGATAAAGTTTTTGTTTTAGGGTCTTTAAATCGTTGCGCAACGATTTACCACGCTCTTTGAGATCGTCGAGTTGCTCCGCACTGCCTCCAGCTTTCGTGAGCTCTTTTAGCCGCTTGGTCACCACCTCTCGCTCCTCCGCCACCTTGGCCAGTTGAGCGTGGTGCATCTCATATTTTTGATACTTGCTGAGCACACTTTCCAATCCGATGTCCAATCCTCGACTAGCGATACTCTGCTCCAAAGATTGGCGGTCGCTGAAGGTTCCCTTGAAGTCAAGATACGGTTGCAGAGTAACATAGTTCTCGTTGGCTTTGTCGCCGGTTATGTACAGGGCGGAGATGTTCCTGCTGCAAGTCTTCCAGGCCGAGAGACCTTTTTTAAATACATTTCGCAGGCTAAACATTATTGTTTTTATCAAATGCAGCAACAAAATAAACCGGCAAAATCAGCTGCTGCCAGCGCTGCCAGATATATTCGATTTAATAGGGGTCTTCAAACCGGAAGACTGTCATTTTTGCACAAAAGCTTATCTGGTATTTCCCCATATTTAAATGCTCGTTAACAATATTTATTTGGATACTTTTTTATTCGGATATTTGTTAAAAAATATATATGATAAAAGTAATCAGTGTTTGATTTTAATTTAAAAAAATACATAACTTAAAAATCGTTCTTATTGCATGTGGTGAATATACGCCCTTTTAAGATCCTCAGCATAAAATGGATGCGGTTTGAAATTGGCAATTTCATTGAAAATAAGTTCCTTATAGCAATTCACAGGTAGTACCATGTTTTCAAAGTTTTGATCATACTTTGGTGCGATGTCCTCGTCATGATGATGGGGATCAATAAAATCGCTAAGGAACGGATGGTGCATGGCCTCCGCGGCTGTAATTCGTCTTTCGGGTATCATTTCGAGCATTTTCTCCAACAAATCCAGAGCCAAGGGATTGGCATACGAAAACATCTGCTGGAAATCACGTCTTTCCCGATATGGGTTCCTCTCCAAGTATTTCCGAGGTTGCCTTTCAGTTATTCGGCTCATAAACTCAGTTGACGGTGTTCCCATTATGTCAAGCAGGCGGTCTAGTTGTTTCATATAGCATTTACCAGGAAAAAGGGGACTACCCGATAAGAGTTCGGCCAAGATACAACCCACAGACCACATGTCGACGGCCTTAGTGTAGTTTTTGCAGAGGAAGAGCTGCTCGGGGGCTAGATACCACAGGGTACCCGCTAACTCCGTCATGTTATTGGCGGAAAGGCGGGATAAACCGAAATCAAGTATGCGGACCTCCAGATTTTCATTTACTGCTATATTACCAGGCTTCAAATCACGATGGATTACGCCGGCGCTGTGAATGTACTTCAGACCTCGCAGTATTTGGTAGAGGATATACCCAATATGGTACTCGGAGATCCTGTTTGCACGCGAGAAACTTATTAGGTCCTCGTCCATCAGGTGGGTCACCAGATAAACCTGTTGAAAATCGTTACACACCAAAGGTGGGTGGAAAACGTCCAGCAGACAAAGGACGTTCCTGTGATTCATGTGCTTCAGCAGACGGATTTCGCGATAAGCTCCCTTGGCGTCTTCTTCTTTCTCGAAAGGATGCGACAGCTTTTTCATAGCCACGTAATTTTGGCTACCACTTAGCCTCACCTTGGCCACCTGACCGAAAGAACCGCGGCCAAGATGGCTGACCATTTCGTAAATGCTTGGAATCTCCCAACTGCTTTCGTTTACTATCACTCTTGTGAATCCCGCCATTTTCGTTGACTAAAAATGCAAAAGATCTTTTAAGTTCGACGATACAAAGCATACTAAATTCGCAATATCCCACTTATACCTTAAATGTTTATCTTATCAAAGTGTTTTTAAAATCTAATCAGTAATACATGATTCAGTTCTCTTTATGAGCGAACACAAATATAATTGACTCACTTAGAAAGTTTAATCGGAAATAAACAATACATCTAGGGTATTTTCGCCTGACAATGCTGCCATCTCGGTGAAATTCCAAAAGATCATAAGACTTTATATTTATTTTTAAACCAATTTATTGTAAAATATACAATACAATATTAGTGGCAAGCCGTAACAAAATAATAAAATGTGGTACAAAACAAAAAAACTAGTTAACGCTAGGAATTGCTACATTTGGGTACAAAAGGCACAATTAAAAAAATGTTCGTGTTTAATATAAATCGGTATAAAAATAAGTTGCCCTGTGTAATACTTTAATTCCTTGATAAGTGGATTCCGTTTCACTTTACACCCTTAAGAACTTGAGCAAACGACGGCGGAGGCTTAAAATTGGTGACCTCCTTGTAGATCAGCTCCTTCCACTTGTCCACCGGCAGATCCATGTCCTCGAAGCTGTGATCGTACGGCGGGGAAGTCTGCTCATCGCTGGGTTCGGCGTACTTTTCCAGATACGGATGTGCCAGAGCCTCCTCGGCCGTGATCCGCTTCTCGGCGTCTAGCTCCAGCATTTTCTCCAGCAAATCGATGGCCAGCGGATTGGCGTTCTCGAACACCTTCTTGAAGCTGCGCCTCTTCATGGGCGGCAGTGACTGTATGTAAGAGCGAGCACTCTCTGAGGAGATCTTCTTCATAAAGTCTGCCGGCGGCGTGCCTAGCATCTCCATGATCAGGTTAAGTTGGTGGATGTGATCGGTTCCCGGGAAAAGAGTACGTCTAGTAATGAGTTCGGCCATAATGCAGCCCACCGACCAGATGTCCACCGTCTGGTTATAGTGCATCCAGTTGAGCATGATTTCAGGGGCGCGGTACCACCGCGTGGCCACATAACCGGTCATTTCGTTCTCCGTGGGACGCGCCAGCCCAAAGTCCAGGATGCGCAGCTCGCAATCCTCATTGACGGCAATGTTCGAGGGCTTCAGATCACGGTGGATGACTCCGGCACTGTGGATGTACTTCAGTCCCCGGAGTATTTGGTAGACCAAAAACTGAACATGGTCGTCGGACAGGTGCTGCATCCGTATGATGTTGTTTAGATCCGCGTCCATTAAGTGGGTGACCAGGTAAACCTGCTGGAAGTTCTCCAGCGAGGCGTTCGACGGATGTGGATGAAAAATGTCGAGCAGACCGATCACGTTCTCATGATCCATGTGTTTTAGAAGTCGGAGCTCTCTGTAAGTCCTTTTAGCGTGAACGGCGGATTGGAAGGGTCTTGCTAGCTTTTTGATGGCCACATGCATATTGGTGCCCCGAACCAGTGCCTTCGATACCTGTCCATAGGCCCCCGATCCCACAGGCAGTAGGTCCTGATAAATTTCCGGGATCTCCCATTCCGTCCGGTTTATGTCCAACTTGTAGAATTTCTGCGTTATGGATGCAGACATAGTTTCGTTGGCGGAAGGGTGTCGTCACAGTAAATTATTAAAACCTATAAACGAGATATTTAACCATTAAAGCGGTGCGCGATCGAAATACCACGCTGATTACGTTTATCTTGAGGCAGTTCTGCGGCAACGTTGCGGGCCTCTGCTCCACGCCCAAGAATATCAACCACTAAGCACTGGCCGCTGGCATTATTTCCTATATTTGCGCTATTACTCCACTCCGACGCGTGTTGGGAATCCGTGAATCAGAATCGGATAAGTGGATCGATCGGCGGCGACTCGCGTATGCGCTATACTTAAATAATGGTATGTGCTGAGGATCATTTAAATACGGAGCCTTACCCACGCTTACGTAATGTTTGACTACATAAAATTATACTTAGGAATTGCTTAAAATTGTAGAGAAACTTGTACAGAAGCCTATTCGTTTTCGTGTAAACTAACCATAAATAAATATTTTACCAAATCTCATAAGAATTTAAATCTTTCAAATTCAATTTTCTGACCAGTTTTTTTCTAAAACAATTTATCAAAAAATATTATATTATTTTTAATAAAACGAGTATTTCAAGCTTACACAACCCAAAAAGTCCAAATTAAAAGCTGTACCGCACATAAATAAAAATAAACAAATGGCGTTGCCGGACCGTCAGTTGTCAAGTTCTTGATAGTGCGATGAATATCTATCGAATGAAGATTCAAAACAGCTGTCTGATGTTTTTTCTGCGAATTCTTCCACCCACCACCCCTTGACCCATTTTTTGCTGCATTTTTCGTTTACTTTGAATGTTTTCATTCAATCACAGCTACCACTCGCGCCTGCGCACTCGCACCGCCGCACTTATCAATACGTTAATCTAATCGTGCCATAAACACAGGCTGACATTCCGCCTCGCCATCCTCCGTCGAACGTTTAGTTTCCTACCGAAGCCGCTCCCGCTCGCATCGTAACCTAGAAAAAGTGACTGTAAGTGGGATCGACAGGGGTATCTAAATGAAAATGAATAAATTACAGGTGTATATCATATACATTACAAAGTTTAACTAAACATTACAAGGTTTAAGTTGTGTTTACCAAGTTAATGAAGTAGCAAAATGTGCTGGGGAACAGGAAGATGTCACTCCATCGGCGGCGAACTACGACCTTTGGAACCTGGACTAGCAAACATGCAGATTTTCTTTAATCCATTATCTCAGATAACACGGAACATTGTTAACATCGATGGCAAGTTCGGTTATAATAAAAGATCTGCGGCCCGAATACGATTAGATAGCCCCTGGGGTTCAAAGTGTGGCAATTAGAGTGCAAGAAGCACGGCCGTTTCAAGGGTTGGTCTAACTTCAACCCCTATATCCGCTTCGGGGAATAAGTTTCAATTACCATTTTTCACATTGTGTATTGGAATTACTTTTGGTAGATAAAGAGCTGTTATCTAGCAATAAAACAAACTATAAAACGCAAAACCTTAACTATCATGTTTTCCGTCTTTGCAGTCACAAAATGACTTCGACTCTACTGCCCGGTAACATCGTGTATGGTGGTCCTGTGACCGAACGGGAGGCCCAGGACTACAGATCCCTGGGCCAGTACGTCCTGGATAAGTACAAGAGCTTCGGGGACCAGACGGTGCTGGTGGATGCGGTCAATGGAGTGGAGTACTCGGCCAGCTTCATGCACAAGTCCATTGTCCGGCTGGCCTACATCCTCCAGAAACTGGGAGTCAAGCAGAACGACGTCGTCGGCTTGTCCAGTGAGAACAGCGTTAACTTTGCCCTGGCCATGTTCGCCGGCTTCGCAGTTGGAGCCACGGTGGCTCCTCTCAACGTGACATATTCTGACCGCGAAGTGGACCATGCTATCAACCTCTCCAAGCCCAAGATCATATTCGCTTCCAAGATTACAATTGACCGGGTCGCCAAGGCCGCAGGTAAGAATAAGTTCGTCAAAGGCATCATCTCCTTCGGCGGAAGTTCCAAGAAGTTCAAGAACATCTACGACTTCAATGAGTTGATGGACAATGATAAGTTCACGAATCAGCCGGAGTTCACGAGCCCGGCGGCCAATAAGGATAACGATGTGTCTCTAATTGTGTGCTCCTCGGGCACCACCGGACTGCCAAAGGGCGTGCAGCTAACCCAGATGAATCTGCTGGCTACCCTTGACTCTCAAATGTAAGTATAAAAGGTCAATTATCAAAAGAATTTCATACGAAAAGCTCTCTCCTTTTCAGCCAGCCCACCATCATTCCCATGGAGGAGGTCACACTGCTCACCGTCATTCCCTGGTTTCACGCCTTCGGCTGCCTCACGCTCATAACCACAGCCTGCCGGGGAGCCCGCCTAGTGTATCTGCCCAAGTTCGAGGAGAACCTCTTCCTCTCGGCTATTGAAAAGTATCGTGTGATGATGGCCTTCATGGTGCCACCATTGATGGTCTTCCTGGCCAAGCACCCAATAGTGGATAAGTACGATCTATCCTCTCTGATGGTCCTGCTGTGTGGAGCAGCCCCACTGAGCCGCGAGACCGAGGATCAGATTAAGGAACGCATCGGAGTCCCTTTCATCCGGCAGGGCTATGGCCTCAGCGAATCCACTCTGAGTGTGTTGGTCCAAAATGACGAGTTCTGCAAGCCCGGCAGTGTGGGCGTGCTCAAGGTAGGAATCTACGCCAAAGTGATCGATCCCGACACCGGTAAGCTGCTGGGAGCCAACGAGCGGGGTGAGCTGTGCTTTAAGGGCGACGGCATCATGAAGGGCTACATCGGGGACACCAAGTCCACGCAAACGGCCATTAAGGACGGCTGGTTACACACGGGTGACATTGGCTACTATGATGATGAATTCGAGTTCTTCATCGTGGACCGTATCAAGGAGCTGATCAAGTACAAGGGCTTCCAGGTGCCGCCAGCCGAAATCGAGGCACTGCTGCTTACCAACGACAAGATAAAAGATGCTGCGGTCATTGGTAAACCCGACGAAGCGGCTGGCGAGCTGCCGCTGGCGTTCGTAGTGAAACAGGCCAATGTGCAGCTGACCGAAAGCGATGTGATCCAGTTTGTCAATGACAACGCCTCGCCCGCCAAGCGACTAAGGGGAGGTGTGATCTTCGTGGACGAAATTCCAAAGAACCCCAGTGGAAAGATCCTGCGTCGTGTTCTCCGCGAAATGCTCAAGAAGCCAAAGTCCAAGTTGTAAGGGGATCGCTCCCCTTTTGGGTGTGTGTACAAACAATTTACTATGTGTATGATTTATTATTGCTAAACTTTGTTTTATAAACTACCAACTGGTTGGGTTTCGATTTACTCATATTTGGCTTTTCTTTCGAAGTATTCGCTTAAAACTTAAATACAAATAAAAACTGCTGGAATTCGAGTGTCGCAGTGACATCGCTGGAGCTTGGAAAACGCAGCTCCAGGTCGAAATACGTTAGATGTCCGAACTATCAATAACAAGTTATATATAAACAACTACATACATTCGTTCTCAACTTCTAACAAACTTGTCTTCTGTTTTCCCCATATTGTTGTCGCTTTTATATAGACTCAT